TGATCATCAAGTTTGCAGATGACACCAAATTGGGAGGGATAGCCAATATTCCAGAGGACAGGAGCAGAATTCAAAATGATCTTGACAGATTAGAGAGATGGGCCAAAACTAACAAAATGAAGTTCAACAGTGACAAATGCAGGATATTCCACTTTGGCAGGAAAAACGAAATGCAAAGATATAGAATGGGGGATGCCTCGCTCGAGAGCAGTACGTGTGAAAAAAATCTTGGAGTCCTCGTGAACAACAAGTTAAATATGAGCCAACAATGTGATGTGGCGGCAAAAAAAGCCAATGGGATTTTGGCCTGAATCAATATGAGTATAGTGTCTAGGTCCAGGGAAGTAATGCTACCCCTCTATTCTGCTTTGGTTAGACCACACCTGGAATATTGTGTCCAATTCTGGGCACCACAATTCAAGATATTGACAAGCTGGAATGTGTCCAGAGGAGGGCGACTAAAATGATCAAGGGTCTGGAGAACAAGCCCCATGAAGAGCAGCTGAAGGAGCTGGGCATGTTTAGCCTGAAGAAGAGAAGGCTGAGAGGAGATATGATAGCCATGTATAAATATGTGAGAGAAAGCCACAGGGAGGAGGGAGCAAGCTTGGAACATGAGTCTTCTGCTTCCCTGGATACTAGGACGCGAAACAGTGGCTTCAAACTACAAGAAAGGAGATTCCATCTGAACATGAGGAAGAACTTCCTGACTGTGAGAGCCGTTTAGCAGTGGAACTCTCTGCCCTGGAGTGTGGTGGAGGCTGCTTCTTTGGAAACTTTTAAACAGAGGCTGGATGGCCATCTGTCAGGGGTGATTTGAATGCAATATTCCTGCTTCTTGGCAGGGGGTTGGACTGGATGGCCCATGAGGTCTCTTCCAACTCTTTGATTCTATGATTCTGTGATTCAATGCAAAGTCACACACACTGACCATATATCATGCCTGAACTGGCCCAAAGAGCAAGTCAGTGCATTTGACATTTCATGGATTCTAACCAGCTGATTAAGAACAGTGTTCCTGCTTCATTCCAAGATCATGCCTCTTAGGCACAAGAACTGGACTCGGCATTGAATTCCATCATCTGAGATAGAGCCAGAGATTGACACTTGACAGCTCTACCTATTATGAAAAAGTACTGGTTATCGTGATAAAATAGGGGGGAAATGCTGAAGGGGAAAAGTGACCAAACCCCAGGGATGGTGCAACGGGGTTGGGAGAAGTGTCTGACCATGTCCCTGTGGCCAAATGCAAAGTTATTACTACTTTCACTGAGTTCCACCAAGATCTCAGCAGATGATGGCATAATTCTGCCTCTGGCTACTAGGATACATCCTGAGAGCTCTCAAATCTCCCCTCAACTTTCCACTTTTTAGTTGAGAAAGGTAAATCTCAGGAATTGGGTAGAGTTGGTTGGCCAGGTATTGGGTTTTTTGGGAACTTTTCTGTTTTTTAAGAAAAACTTCGTGTAACATGTACATGTTGCAGAAGTCCTTTTCTTGATGTTGAATTGATCCAGGCACAGAAATGTTGCTAGACTGTAAAACTAAAATAGTCCCATAATGCCATATACTGTGTCCTTCCAGCTGTTTGGGCCTTCAACTTCCAGAATACCTAACTACAAACTGGCAAGGACTTCTGGCAGTTGGAGGCCCAAACAGCTGGCAGGCTACAGGTTGAGGTTGCCTGGCATAATAACATCCTTCAAGTCCTCTCTTTTACAACAAGCAGCTCACTGGTGACAATGAAGTCTGTCAATGGGAAGTTGCACAGAGGGAGACTGGCACTCTGTGGCCTTCCATGTTCTGCAAGTGACATATTATAAGGCCAGTAGCGGTGGGTGGGAAGCATGTGCTCTCCTCTGTCTTAAACGCTAGGGCCCAAGGCAAGATATGACATGCAACAGAGGCAGAGATAGTCTTGATCCAAATGTATTGGTCCAAATGTCTTGGTCCACAATTCAGTTTCTTTCTCTTTTTTTCTGAGAGGGAGGTGGGAAGCTGGGGTTTCTCTTTAAAAGAAGGCCTCCTCGGTTCCAGTAATGTCACAGAAGCGTTTCTTCTGACGGCTCTGGGGAGGTAGGGGTCAGTAAAGTGTGGCGCCTTGGGACTTTGAGGAGCGGAAGCTGCTCAGCGGCCTGCTTCTCCTTGCTGTCTCAGGGAACCAGTGAAAAGGGAAGTTGTCCTGGGGACCAAAGAGACCGCAAACAGCTTTGGAAACCCCCACACAGGCACGGGGTGGGGGTGCAGGTGGGCGGGGGTGGACTTTTCTAGTGTTTGATTCTTGTCAGGTTGTGTGTTTTCTCCTCCTCTCATCATGGGCACTTGGGCATCTGGATTGTTGTAGGTTTTTTGGGCTATATGGCTATGTTCTAGAAGCATTCTCTCATGACGTTTCGCCTGCATCTATGGCAGGCATCCTCAGAGGTTGTGAGGTCACAACCTCTGAGGATTCCTGCCATAGATGCAGGTAAAATGTCAGGAGAGAATGCTTCTAGAAAATGGCCATGTAGCCTGAAAAACCTACAACAACCCAGTGATTCCGGCCATGAAAGCCTTCAACAATACTTGGGCATCTGGTTTGGCAGGGCAGCCTGTTTCTGCTGATGTAGTCTGATCCTTTCCCCTGTTGGTCTGACTTGTTTCTTCCAAGCCCTGTCTGCATCAAAGTGTCTAGGTGCTCCAGCCCCACTCGAGGATCCCAGTAGCTACTTGAGCTTTGCACAGCCCTTCCAAATACTCGTACTTCCTAGTATGGTCTTAGTAACAACCCTGTTAAGGCAGCATCCCCCATCTGTGGCCCTGCATAGGTGCTGTTCCCATTGTCCCATGCAGTGCTGGACCACAGTTCTCATGAGTGCCATGACGGGAGCTGCAGTACAACACACCTAGAAGGTTCATGTTGGGGAAGTCTACTGCGCTCTAATGGTGCATTTACTCTACATGGCAATTGCACTTTGCTACCATTGCAACTACAGAGCCAGTATAATGTAGCGGTTTGAATCTTGAATCCCTGCTCGGGCAGGGAAACCCAGAGGGGGACCTTGGTTAAACTTCTTCTGAACAGAACTTGCCAATTAAATCCCAGCCTTCGGGTGGCCAGAAGTCAGATCCCACTTGAAGGCACCCAACAATGATCACCTGAATTGCTGCAGCTCTTTGGGATGTGTACCCGCAAGAGGGATTGACCATTGTGTGCCAGAGTGCTAATGCTGTTGTTCTCCCCTTTCTCTAAAGAGTTCAAAGCCAAAATGGCAAACCAGCTGCTTGGCCATCCAAGAAGTACGACGGTGCACTTACCTGGAGATGCCTGAAAATGCACGCACCTTTGTGCTCAAGGTAAGGAGCGGCTGAAGGGTATGGAGAAGGGCATGGGGGCATTATCAGTCTGTGCCGTGCCACTGTGTATGGCAGGGGTTCAACTGAATGGACCTTGCAGTTACTTCCCACTCAAAGAGTCTCAGATTCCAGGCGTATGTCCAGATTCGGGGGATAGGGAGTCTCTTGCGGTGAATTGTCACTCTAATGAGGGCTAGAGATAGAAAGAGGAAATGGTCTGATGCCAGAGTTGGGGAACATGAGTCTTCTGGAGTACAGCTGGTGGGAGTTCTGGGAGTTGTGGTCCTTGGGTCAGATGGTGGGACCCTCTGGATTGTCCACCTTGACTGGCACTGACTGTCAAAGGGCCTTCTCTCCTCCAGCTCCTGAAATGAAGATGCTGGGACTGAATGACGGGTGGCTGCCCTAGACTCTCTTCCCCAGCTGGAGGCAGGAAAGGGACACTTCACCCAGGAAGCTAGAAAGTGGGGTGGAAATTCCTGGGCCTTCAGAAAAGTTCCCAAAGGAAGCCCTGTGGAGTTAGAGAATCTAAAAAGCCCTGCCCCCTCTGTGCCTGTGTATGTGTGTGCGCTTCAGGAAGGAGCAGGGCAGCTGTTTGGCCTTCCTATTGCCAAAGGTTCTTCATGTTCTCTTTCCTCGCCCCCGCCTTGTAGGTAAATACCTCCGCGGACATCATTTTGGAGGCCGGAGATGAGCAGCAGCTGTCTTCGTGGATATCTGAAATTAAAGAATGCCTCCCTCAAGGGTAAGGCAGAGCTGTGGTCTTTGTTGAGGACCGTTCTGCAGACTGGGGCCTTTGTTGTTGGGCTTTTTGGAAAGATGTGGCCTTGGTTTGAAGTGGAGTACTTGAAGTGGGGGGCAGGTGTACAAGCGAGCCTTCCACTGGGCCCTAGCTGTGTGCTTGCTTAAGCTGACATGGAATTAATTCTACACAAAAGTTTCATGTAAAGTACAGACTTAAACAGTTACTCCCCTGTTTCTGCAAATTGATTTTTAAGGGGGGCAATTCAAAAATGAGTTATTAACTTTGAATTCTTTTGCCTTTCTTGTGGTTCTAGGGGCCTCATATGCAATATATATATATATATATATATATATATATATATATATATATTGCAACATACACAATTTTAAAAGTTAAAATCAGTATGTACAATGGAGAGGGGGAAAACCTTCTCATAGAGAGGAAGGAGTTAACTGGAGAGTGAGTGCAGGAGCCCAGAAAACCCCTTTCATCCCAAACACCCCACCCCTCTCAGTGTCTTATTAAACATTACAAGCCATACAACATATATAAAATATCTTTCTGTTCTGCATATAAATGTAGCAAGAAATCCGTGAAAAAAATCCAAAGCACAATTATTACTTACCTACTTACTTACTTAGGCGATCCCTCGTTGTCCGAGTAAGATTGTCCTCCAAGTGCAGTGTCCTGGCGGTGGGTACGTAGGTGACTGTAGAGCCCTATTCTTGACCCGCATGTTCTCCCGCAGTGAAGGCATCAGTTTCCAGGTGGAATGCAGTCCTGGTCGGGGTTGGCTTGATGCGCCTTCCTCTTGGCAAGTTTCTCTCTTTCGCCCTCAATTCGTGCCTCTTCAAACTCTACAGCACTACTGGTCACAGCTGACCTCCAGCTAGAGCGCTCAAGGGCTAGGGCTTCCCAGTTCTCAGTGTCTATGCCACAGTTTTTAAGGTTGGCTTTGAGCCCATTTTTAAATCTTTATTCCTGTCCTCCAACATTATGTTTTCCGTTCTTGAGTTCAGAGTAGAGTAACTGCTTTGGGAGATGGTGATCAGGCATTCGGACAACGTGGCTGGTCCAGCGGAGTTGATAGTGGAGGACCATTGCTTCAATGCTGGTGGTCTTTGCTTCTTCCAGCATGCTAACATTTGTCCGCCTGTCTTCCCAAGAGATTTGCAGGATTTTTTGGAGACAACACTGATGGAATTGTTCCAGGGGTTGCATGTGACGTCCATGTCTCGCAAGCATATAGCAGGGTTAGGAGGTTTAGGAGGATAATAGCTTTATAAACAAGGACCTTGGTGTCCCTACGGATGTCCCAGTCCTCAAACACTCTGTGCTTTATTCAGAAAAATGCTGAACTTGCAGAGCTCGGGTGGTGTTGTATTTCAGTGTCAATGTTGACTTTTGTGGAGAGGTGGCTGCCAAGGTAGCGGAAATGGTCAACATTTTCTAATGTTACACCATTAAGCTGTATTTCTAGCATTGCAGATGGATTGGCTGGTAACTGCTGGAAGAGCACTTTGGTTTTCTCGATGTTCAATGACAGGCCGAGCTTCTTGTATGCTTCTGCAAAGGTGTTTAGAGTGGCTTATAGGTCTTCTTCTGAATGCTCACAGACGACATTTTCATCAGCATACTGGAGTTCTATAACAGATGTTGTTGTAACCTTGGTTTTGGCTTTCAGTCTGCTGAGGTTAAATAGCATGCTGTCTGTCTGATAGATGATTTCCACTATGGTGGGAAGCTTCCCAACCACAAGATAAATTATCATAGCGATGAAGATGGAAAATAAGGTTGGGGCAATAACACATCCCTATAAGTGCCTATATAAGTATATAAGTGTATGTATGAAGTGCCGATGCACTAACACTATGCTGATGAAGATATCAAGGAATTTTTTTTACTGTCAGCTGGACACCGTCCTATCGAGGATACCTAAGGAGGACAAAATCCTCCTCCTGGGGGACTTTAATGCAAGAGTCAGACAAGACTTTGATCTGTGGCCAGGGACCATAGGAAAAGTCAAGGTTGGAAACAGCAACTCGAATGGCATCCTGCTTCTCACCGAATGTGCGGAACACAACCTTGTCATCACCAAAATGTTCTTCTGCTAGAAAAACAAGCTCAAGACATCATGGAAGCACCCCCGGTCAAAGCATTGGCACCTCTTAGACTATGTAATTATATGTACCAGAGACCTCCGTGTTGTGCTTCTCACAAGAGCCATTGACAGGTGCTAATGACTCCTGGACAGACCACAGGCTGATCCGATCCACGATGGCTATCAAGATCGCCCCCAAACACACACTCCAAGGAAGGAAGACAAGGCGGAAAATGAACACCCAAGCCCTTCAGGAGCCCTCCAAACGAGCCCTTCTCCAAACAGCACTCAAGGACCATCTACCCACAGAACACCCCGAAAATGTTGAGGAACATTGGAATAAACTGAAGACCTCCATCATCACAGCCTGCGAAGAAACAATTATTTCTTTCATAGGTAAGACAATATTTTTGTATGAATTTTTAAAAAGATGATCAGCTGCAAGAAAATTAACATCTGGTAAGAGGAGATTTTTGCATCTTCTCACCGAAGACACACAATAAAGTTGGATACATCAGTTACCCTGAATTCGAGGTAGATTACACAAATCCATTTGTTCTTTTATTTTTCTCTTTCATGGATGTCATGTTTTTTGGAACTTTGTTTAGACCAAGGTAATGGCCTTTGAGACTTTCTCTACGTGAATAAATAGGAGTGAACTTTTTGAATTTTTTTTTTGTCGTGTCGGGAGCGACTTGAGAAACTGTAAGTCGCTTCTGCTGTGAGAGAATTGGCCATCTGCAAGGACGTTGCCCAGGGGACGCCAGGATGATTCGATGTTTTTATCATCCTTGTGGGAGGCTTCTCTCATGTCCCCGCATGAGGAGCTGGAGCTGATAGAGGGAGCTCATCCGCCTCTCCCCGGATTCGAACCTGCGACCTGTCGGTCTTCAGTCCTGCCGGCACAGGGGTTTAACCCACTGCGCCACCGGGGGCTCCTTTTTGAATAATAAGAATTATACATCATGGGTGGTGGAACATCCAGATTTTAGAGACAGGGTCTCTAAACCCACAGGGGGGACAGGGCCAAAAAAAGGTGGGACACCACTGAGTTGCGCAATTGCACCCTTCTCAGGAACAATCAGAGCGAGAGATGCAGGCAGGCAGCTTGCAGAGCCCTGTGTTTCCTGGTGCCAAAGGGAGATCATTTGGATGCCTTTAAAAAAAATGCTATAGTTCACCCAGCTCTGGCCATAACTGAGGATTGGAGAGTGCTGTGATGGAGTTGCAGTTCTTCATACTTGGACTACCTAAGAGGCCTCTTCCTTAGCCAGAGGATTACCTTTCCTGTGCCACAATGGCCTCTGGCACCAGACTGAAGCCAGCCCTGCCCTGTAGCAGCACAGAGCCCTTATCTCACTGCAAAGTCAGTCACTGGGTCCCACAAGTTCCCTACATTGTATCCAGTCCTTGTAAATGCAAATGCATATTTGCCTGAGATGTGAGGTGTTTTATGATCTCTGACCTAAAGCTGGAAGTTAAGTGTTGGGAATTTGGCCTGGGAGGTATTGAACATTGGCACTGAATCAAGCCACAAACCCTCTCATGCCAGGATACCCTGAATATGCAGACACAAGGTCACTTCTGAGTGTGCAGGGTCCTGAAGCCATATAATACTGTAATGTGGGGACTTGATTATTCCAGAGACTTCACTAGTATGCGCCAGCTTTTGAGCGCTCCAGAAATATGCAACTGTAGGTTACACATTCATAACTGTGATTATGATTTCCAACCGATGTATTTTAGCTACATCAAGAAAAAGGAGTGTGTCTTTATGCTCATGGAGTTATGTGACACTTGTGGATGAGCTGTACTGATTAGTTGAATGTGCAGACAGATGTGAGAAACGTAATGTGAAGATTTAGGCTGTGCAAACTGGATTCTGAATCTCGGCCATTCTGGATCATATTGGTCTTTGTTCTTAGTGCCAGTGTTTATCTGTCGGGGGTGCTTTGAATGAAATTTTCCTGCTTCTTGGCAGGGGTTGGACTGGATGGCCCACGAGGTCTCTTCCAATTCTATGATTCTAAGACATGCTTCTATTTTCTAGGTCAACGGGAGACAATGTAGACCTGACCTCAGATTCGCATTCAGGGACTACAACTACAACTGTGAGCCCCACAAGCAGCAGCAGTGCGGATTCGCTCAACCAAGGTACTTGCATCCTTCTCAAGAGCCCCTGCCTTGTGAAAAGTGCTACCTCTAATCATCTAGAGAGTTTTGGAAATAATGTTTTCAAAACTAAAAAAAAAAAGCGATGCCAGTACTCGGGGGAACCTCTTTTAGAACCCATCCAGCTTGCCCATCTAGATCAATGTTATAACGCAGTGCCTATCTCCAGGAACAGAAGGCCTTTTGTCATTGGTCGCATGGCCCTGTTCAGGAGATGAAACCTGGGGGGCACGCTGCATGCTCATCCTCTGAGCTCCAGAGGTCTCCCCCTCCTCAGATAGGGCAAACGGCTTTGGTGGATGAATACTGTGAGCCAGTGACTTCTTTAGCTCTTGCAGTGGGACTTGGCCCATGAATGTGAACTTTAGTCTGATTCAACACATTGCTTCTTATGTCCTTGAGGAAATGGGTTGAAGTGGGATTGGTTGTGGGCAAATACATTGTGGTTTTTTTGGGAAGCAACCCTGGATTTCTGCTTTTGAGTTGGACGCAAGATGGAAGCCCCACTCTGAAGGACTGTTCCCCTCTCTTCCCAGCTGCCATGCCACCGAGCCCCCCGGACCGTCACCTGGCCACTTTCCCCTGGTTCCATGGCCCCATTTCTCGAGTCAAAGCGGCCCAACTCGTCCAGCTCCAAGGCCTTGAGGGACATGGGGTTTTCCTCATCCGGCAGAGTGAAACGCGCAGAGGAGAATACGTCCTCACTTTTAATTTCCAAGGAAGGGCCAAGGTAAGGCACTTCTACTCACGGAGGCTCTTTCTCCCTGGCCACATACAAATGTGTCTAAAGCCTAGGTGTGCCTAGGTGAGCATGCCTGAGTTCTCCCATAGAAGCCTTGCAGGGGATCCTAAGTGTCACAGTAAAAACAGCGGTAGCCCCACTATTGGCTCTTGGTATGCCAAACCTGAATAGCAGTGGCAAAGAAGTCCAGTTCTAAATCTGGAGCCAGATTTCCAGTCCTGCTTGTTGGAATGAGCTCCCAAAACCAAGGTGGGGTGGAAATGCTGTTGACTGGGGACTGAGTGCAACACAAGACTTGCTTCTGTTTAGCACACATACCCTCTTCACCTCATCGGAAAAAAACCACTAAAAAAGATCTCTGGACGAGGCAGTTTAGTGATCCATTACTGCCTCTTTCCAAAAGAGCAAAACAAGAACACTGAATTCTAGTTTATTGTCCAAGGCTTTCATGGCTGAAATCAATGGGCTGTATGACTGGTTTCCAGCAGCATTTTCTCCTGATGTTTTGCCTGCATTCAGAGGACCCTCTGAAGATGCCAGCCACAGATGCAGGTGAAACATCAGGAGAAAATGCTGGCCATACATCCTGGAAACCACACAACACCTCAGTGATTTCTAATTTCCTCTGCGTGGTCCTGTGAAATGCACACATATGGGTTTTCTGCGCCTGTTTCGGAACCTTCTGGAATTTTAAAAGATTTTTTTTGGCGGTAGCACCACCCATTCTCCCCTGATAGTATAAATAGCCAGTAGGCGGGGCTGCCAGTTCCTTCTTTCCACCGTGAGAAGCAGCAGTTAGGGAACCTCTCTATTAGTGACTAGCTCGTTCTTTTTTCTTACATGTTTTGACTATTCTTGCCTACCGATTTGGACTCTGTTTGCTCCCGCTGGCTGACTACGGACAGTTTTGACTATTCTCAGGCCTGTATCTGCCTCCTCTCTATCAACCAAAATAGCGACCGTCTTCAAAAAGTGTTCCCAATGCGGGGGAAAATACCCAGATACAGACGCCCACCCTGTCTGCCTGCTATGCCTGGGGGAGAGCCATGTGATGCACGCATGCTCCATTTGCCAATATTTCACACACCCCCCAAGCCCGCAAGCACAGACAAATCCACCTTAAAGCCCTCCTTTATGAGCAAGCCCTCCAGCCGCCACCATCCAAAATCGCTAAGAGGGCGTCCTCCGAACCCCCTTCCACCTCAACTGCCCCCAGTCCCCCGGGGTCTGACTTACCTGCAGTTCTGGAAGCGGGAGCGGATGGCGCGCCTCCATTGGCTAAGCCCGCCAAGCCAAAGAAATCCAAGCTGAGTTCTCCTTCCTCCGCTAAAGTTGCTCAACTCTCTAAGAAAGCGGGAAAAGAAAAGGGGCAAGCCCAACTTGTGCTGGCTGAACGGGGTGCTTCCTCCCTCCCCCCACTACATCCTCTAATAATGCCTCCCAAGGCCGAGACTCTGAAGAACAGTCTCTTCCCTTGGCGCAGCCAGAGCCATTGGGGGTGACTTCACCACCCCCAGAGATAAACTTTATGGCCTCATCCACTTCTCAGGCAGCGGAAAACATGCACCAACCTACTCATCCTACCCCTTCCCTGGAGAGGGAAGCTTCAATGTCTAGAGGGGAAGCTTCGATTACTAGAGGAGCCCTCAACCCCGCCCCCCCTGAATTGTCGGGGGGTCGAACGCTGAAACGCAGCTTGGACCCAGAAGCCCAAAACCTCCATCCCGGGGACGCTCTCGGTACCGAGACCGGCTCGGATTCAGATGGCAATGCTTTGGTTGCTTCCCTCCCTGAAGGGACAGTTGAAGATGACCCTACTTCTCCTGAGGAGTTGAGTACCTTCTCCTCCCTCATTAATTGCCTGGCGAAGGCACTGAAACTTCAAACTCCGCAAGTGGCCACACCTGTTGATTATCCTGTTTTTTCTCATGACCAGCAGCAATCGCCAGCAGTGGCCCCACTGCCTCTCTTGCCTTACCTACTTCAGCTTATTAAGGCACCGGGAATGGCTCCCTCTTCGGTACCACCCACCAGCAGAAAGGCTGAAAATCTCTACCATTTGGATATGACTTCAGCAGAGTGGCTAAGTAAACACCCTAAGCCAAATTCAGTGGTCGTGGACATCTCCCAACCATGTCCAGCACAGCACTCTCACAACACCCCAGCAGACAAACAGGGCAAGAAACTGGATGGCATGGGGCGCAAAATATACACTGCTGCAGGACTTTTTGCGAGGATGGCACACTATGGTGCCTACATGGGAGCTTATCACTGCTTCATTTGGGACAAAATTGCCCCATTGCTCAATCACCTTCCTCCTGAGGAGCTCAGACTGGCTAAAACCTACAAACAAGAGGCTATGCAATTAGCAGGCCTGTAGAATGATCTGGCGAAACATACTGCCAATACATCAGGTAAGCTCTTTTCTGCTCCAGTAGCCTTGCGCCACCACACGTGGCTATGTTCTTCAGGCCTATCACAGTCTGCACGAACCACCATAGAAGACCTCCCAATGCATGAGGCGGGGCTGTTTAACCCTGATACCAATACCAACCTGGAACGCACGCACAAGATGCGTCAGATGGCCCATAGGTTCGGCCTCCCGTCGCTGTTTACTAACCAACCTAGACAACGTTGGCCAACTTTCACTCCATACTATTGGAGACGTCCTAGCCCAACCTCGGCAGGACCAAGGGCGAGACCAGCTACCCAACCGCCTTCTGCTAGGAGATCACCTCCACCTCTGGCCAGGAGCCACCAGCAAGGTAGGGGCAGGCAACCCTATGCCTCGAGGCGCCAAGTTTAGCACTATACCACGATGTAACAGCGGTTCTCCCCATCCAACCTGTCCAAGTTGATTATCCCAACTGCACCCTTTCCCCAACCTACGATGTTTCCCTACCACAACCTACCTTCATGGACCGTCTCGCGTCCTACATCGACGCCAGGTGCCAGATAACCACGGACGAGTGGGTCCTCGACGCTGTGAGAAGAGGATATGCAATTGAGTTGACATCTTTACCTCCGGTGGGACACCGCAGGGTAACCCCACCTCCACCCCCGTCGTCGAAGAGATCCAGGCTCTTCTCCAGAAAGGGGCCATACGCCGTTTGAAACCTGCGGACATCCATCAGTGCTTCTTCGCTAGATACTTCCTAGTCCCCAAGAGGGGTGGGGGCTTGCTGCCCAACCTAGATCTACGGGGCCTGAACCGACACATTAAACCCCGCAAATTCCACATGGTTACACTGACTATGATTTTGGCCCTAATTAGCAGAGGGGCTTGGTTTGCCATGGTGGATCTTAAAGATGCTTACTTCCACATCGGATTAAGACAGTCTCATCGCAGATTCCTTAGTTTTCAGGTTGGACACCAATGCTACTGTTTCAACTCACTTCCGTTTGCCTTGTGTATTGCCCCCAGAGTTTTTACTAAATGTTTGGCAGTTGTTGCCACACATCTCCGCCAGGTTGGCGTTTTTATTTACCCTTACATTGATGATCGGCTGATTGTTTCTAGCTCCTGACAGAGGCTTCTGACTGACATCAATACTACTTTGTCTCTTCTTCAGGATCTTGGACTAGTAGTAAATTGGGACAAATCCCATCTGGAGCCTACCCAATCCATCAAGTTTATTGGCGCCATCATTGACTCTGTACAAGAAAGGGCTTTTCTCCCAGAAGACCGCTTCAGGGCCTTAAGGTCCCTCATTCAAGTCGTCCGCACGCGCCCTCATGCCAGACAAATACACTCACTTCTAGGTCACTTTGCTTCCACTATGGCCTTGACACCATTCGCGAGACTTCAAATGCTCCCCTTGCAGATGTGGTTGCTTCAAGTGTTTGACGTACTAAGGGACTCACCAAAGAAGCTCCTGATGGTTCTTCCGCACGTTCGAGCATCACTCTCCTGGTGGACGCACAGACACAATGTCCAGAGAGGGATGCCATTTCGTCAGCAGCACCCAACCAAGACGCTTACCACGGATACATCCCTGTCCGGCTGGGGAGCCCATCTCGGCAACCTGACGGTGCAGGGCAAGTGGTCTCCAGAGGAATCTCAGCATCACATCAATTACCTGGAGATGCTGGCTGTTCAAAAGGCTCTCAGGTCGTTCGAACTCCCTGTCTGGTCATGTAGTCCGCCTCCTGACAGACAACACCACAACAAAATTTTACATCAACAAGCAGGGAGGGACTCGGTCCCGCAAACTGATCCACCTTACCATGCACATCTGGGACTGGTGCATCTTGTGGAACATCCACCTCCTCACTCTTCACGTGCCTGGTGAAGAGAATTCTCTGGCAGACACACTGAGCAGATCAACGAACTCCTGCCACGATTGGCGAGTGAATCCAGAATCCCTACGCTCCATTTTCAAGTTATGGGGAACGCCGGCCGTGGACTTGTTTGCAACACCAGAGAACACACAGTGCGCCCAATTCTGCGCACAACACGCAAAGGGCCATCCACCAGGCTGCCTGGGCGACACGTTTCTATACTCCTGGGCCCCGGCTCTGATGTATGCCTTCCCATCTCTACCTCTGATCCCGAGGGTTCTGTCAAAGTTGCTAGCAGACAAAGCAGACTGCATTCTCCTGATCTCATGGTGGCCTCGGCAGCCATGGTTCGGCCCATTGATCCATGCCGCTCACGAGTTCCAGCGACTTCCATTCACGCCAGACATTCTCACGACTCACAATGGACAAGTTCGTCCTCCCGATGCCTGCACCCTATGTCTGACAGCCTGGAGGATTCAGCCTACTCGAAGCTCTCCCATTCTGTGAGATCAGTATTGGAAGCTGCTCACAAAGCATCTACAAAGAAATCTTACAAATACAAATGGCAACGCTTCTCTTCCTTTGTGAGACAGAAGGGACAGGAACCATCCTCAGCCCCTGTCCCGGTGATTTTGGACTTTCTTATGCATCTCTCGAATAGAGGCCTCTCCATTTCTTCCATAAAATGCTATCTCGCAGCCATTTCATGGTACCAGTGTAAATCAGACTTGCCTTCTTGTTTTGAGCAACCACTCATCAAATTGTTTTTGAGGGGGCATAAGAACATGTTTCCCCCAGCGCACCCTCTGGTGCCTGCATGGAGCCTAGAGCTGGTCTTGTCACAGCTTCCCAAACCACTATTCGAGCCTTTAGCATCAACTGATCTCCAACATCTGTCATGGAAGACGGCTTTTCTCATTGATATAACCTCTGCAAGGAGAGTGAGATCTGTGCTCTCAGAGTGGACGCACCTTACTTGCGAGTTCATGCTGATAAAGCTGTTCTTCGTCCAGACATCTCCTTTTTGCCGAAGGTGGTCTCAAGGTTCTACCTTTCTCAGGACATTGTTTTGCCGGCTTTCTTCCAAAATCTGTCAACCCCACTTGAATGGACATTGCATACGCTAGATGCCAGGAGGGCACTTGCCTTCTATGTCGATCGAACCCGACCTCATAGAAAATCTCCACGACTGTTCCTCAAGTACAGGAATGACGTCCTCGGTTTGCCGGTTACTCCCCAGAGGCTGTCTTCGTGGATTGTTGCCACCATCCGACTGGCATACCAACTGTCAGGGCGTGATCATCCTCCTATCCTGAAAGCTCACTCAACAAGATCCTTGGCCACGTCACAGGCATTACTCAAAGGAGTGCCTCTGGAGGACATCTGCCGTGCGGCTACCTGGGTGAACCCTTCCACCTTTGTCAGCCATTACAAGGTGGATGCCCTATCCAGAAGAGACGTTGCCTTTGGGAGAGCGGTTCTGTTTTCGTGTGTGGCATGATGCCCACCTCCAAGGTTAGTAGCTTGCTAGTCACCCATATGTGCGCATTTCACAGGACCACGCAGAGGAAATATGGGTTGCTTACCTGTAACCGTGTTTCCTCTAGTGGTACCTGTGAAATCCACACAACCCGCCCATCCTCCCCGCTGGACGTCATGCTCCGGTATCCTGGGCTGCTTTCCTGTGGCCAAGGAACTGGCTGGCAGCCCCGCCTACTGGCTATTTATACTATCAGGGGAGAATGGGCAGTGCTACTGCCAAAAAGTATTTTAAAATTCCAGAAGGTTCCGAAACCGTGCGCAGGCGCAGAAAACCTATATGTGTGGATTTCACAGGTACCACTAGAGGAAACATGGTTACAGGTAAGCAACCCATATTTCTTAAAACAGTGGATCTGTAGCCTGTAGTGTTGGGAGGTAGAGTAGCATTTCCAAAATGGCTCTTCTGATTTCCCTGCCTGTCTGCCTGCCTGCCTGTTTTCAAAGCTGGGGCGCTCAGCTGTGGGACTTGACTGCAGGGGAAAAGGCATGTGCCACAGAGGTGCTCTGCTATGAAGGCACCCCTTCCTTTTTTGCCCTGGCAGCACCTCCGCCTTTCGCTGACTGAGAGGGGCCAGTGTCGCGTCCAGCACTTGCACTTCTCCTCCATCGTGGACATGCTGCACCACTTTCAGCGCTGGCCCATCCCCTTGGAGTCAGGCACTACCTGTAATGTGCAGCTGTCCAGTTACGTGATGGTTGCCTCATCTGCGCAAGGTAAGGGGGCTGCTGGGGGCTGCTTGGTCTGCCTGAAGCACCGGAGCATCTGTAGCCTTGCTTAGTTTTAGGAGCACAAGCTGAGAAAACAAACTGTATGTGATTCCTCCCTTTGTGTCAGGAGTCAGTGACCAAATTAGACATTAATCAAGAACACCTTGGGGTGCCCCTGTGTCCTTGGGTGGAGGTTTTGTCTTTCAATCCTTCCTGGAATGAGATCTCCAAAAGCCAAACCTTCTGCTTAGAAGCACTATGTAGTTATGTCAGGTTGCCCAGTGGCATTGCCCTCTGGATCATGTATATGATTACTACCAAACCTGTTTCCAAAAATCAGTGTTAAAATTCAAGCAAGACAGTGTAACCAGTGTATCTCTAAAGCAAAAGTTGAAGTTGGCGAACTTTTGCCTGCTTGAAGAAAAAGAAAGGTCTCAGATCAGAACCTTTGCTACCGGGGAGGGGGTATGTGTCTTTCTCTGCCTTCTATTTTTCTCTCCTTTTCACTGTGGAATGAAAGTAGAAGCTTCTATCTGCTGAACTGGCTCTAGAAAAGTAGGTGTGAGCATGTGCACATGTTTTGTGTTTAATCGCATGAAAGCCTGCTTTTTTTTTCTTTTTTCTTTTTTTGCTTAGGTGCTTATTGCTTTGTAGAGACATTGCATCACACTAATGAATGGCTTTGCTCTCACAGTTTTGGGGGAATGCAACAAAAGGACCAGGCAGCGTAAAATAGGGCTGGCTCTCAATTTCCTTTGGGGCTGGTAGGTCAACAATAGCTACAGATAGCAGAGGGCAACTTGTGCTCCACAGGTGTTGGGGACAGGGCAAATTGTATGATGGAGTGCCTCAACCTTCCGCACCACAAGGTGATGGTGTGGTTCTCTTGGTTGCGTGCCAGCCTTGGGGGGCCTGCTTAGAAGGGAGTTTGCCCTGCCCTTACCTTGCTCACAGAACCGGCTGAGGACAGCCCGACTCATTCCCTTGGTTTTCCCCCCTCTCTTTGCTGTCACAGCAGGCTCCAGCAGCCCTGTGCCCTTCGTCCCCTTTGTCCGCCAGCGCCAACCGGATTTCAGCTTTTTCCCGATGAACCTCTCCCACTGCCCCCGGATCCGCCTGTCTGACAACCTCCGCCGCAATTCCTCGGGGGAGCAGATTTTCCACCTGGTGCCGCCTCCGGAAGAGCTGGCCCGCAGCATCCTGGCCTCCTCCCACCTTGCCCCACTCCCCACCCGCGTGTGGGACAATGACACCCAGGCCCAAACCCAGGCCCCGGCCCAGGCCCCGGCCACAGCCCAGGCCCAAGGGAGGGGACACCTGCGGGCGGTTAGCAACCAGTACACCTCCGTCTGACCTGCTATCCAGGGCGGGCACCTGCTTTTGCACAAAACTCTGTTGGCAACATGTTTGGGAGGGCCCCTGAAAATGTGTGTATCCCTTGCAGCTCTGTTTACTCTGTGATTTGTACAGTAGGTTGTTGGGATAGCGCTGTGACTCTGATTCGGTCTGTTAAAGTGCCATTTGTTGTTGCCTTGGTCTCGTATCGGTTTTGCACATGGCTTTCCCTTTGCTTTGAGTTTCTTTGTTCCAGGTACATACAATGCTCTGCAGTTGATTGACTTTGTCTCTTCCTCTAATCCCATTCCTCCTCGGAGGAGAGGGGCTGGATAGTGAAACGTGGAAGGAAACAGGTCAAACTGGTTGCCGTTACTGACACAAACAGATCTGCTCCTCTCTTTCTGGTTCCCCAGTGTTCATGTTGTTGAATTCTTGTTGAGCAGAGCCACTTTCTTGCCTGTTTTGTGGATTATTATAAAGTGTTGTGTTTGATTAAGTTTGTGTTAGGCAGAGTTACATGACTAGAAACAGCCTATTGCTGAAACAGCACACAGCAGAAACCCATCTGATCCCTCAATGATCTTGAAGAGCCAAACACTAAACATCTCTTTTGTGGGCTGAGCTCCAAGCAGCCTCTGCTCCCTCAGTGCCTTTCCAGAAATTGCACCCCCCCCCCCACCCTTGAGGATATGCAAAAATGCAGCTTCACTACACAAAAGGATACAGGTCAAACTGCACAGGGCAAAGGGACCTGCAGTTCTGTGACTATGTCGAAGTGTGTAGGAAATGGCCTTACTCAACATGAGAACCTGTGCCCTTGCACTGCAACTCTCATCAGCACTGGTCTGAGGCTTATGGGAGTTGGAGTCCAGAAGCTCAGGCAGGGCTGGACTTCTTAGCCCTAGCTAATGCCGTCCTTTGAGCTGGAGGTGCTGGGTGACTAAAGGAGGGCTCAAATGCTTTCAAGACAACATACACTCTTCTGCATTATGCCTCCTTGAAGTAAGCTCACCCTGACTGGCTTTATTATTTTTTAAATATATTTTACCTGTACAAAGTGTGGTTATTTCCAACAACAGTTGGCTCATAACCCTTCTTTTGAAGACAGGAGTAAGTAGGCACTTTAAACATTTCAGTTATTGCTCTTTACCTAAAGACACTAGTGTATCCCTAGGCTGCATACCTTCTGCCTCCAAACCAGGGCATTTTCAAAATCAGCCCCTCTCAACCTCTGAGGTGGTCTTATGCCTCACTCCAGCTGAAAGCAGCCATATTCCTCACATCTTGGTGTTAAAATGGATCAAGCTGAAACTGTGTGAGAAGAGAGCAGCCTCTGCTGGGCAAAGATATTTTCATCACAGATTTTGAAGCTGCACCCTTGGAACTTCCTGTGTCGCTGAAAACCTTTATTTAAAAAATAACATTGATTTAAACCCACTGCGGTGGCTTTCTTGCCTGCAGGGACCTGAAACCATGTGCTCCCCAAGCACAGTCAGGCTAAGCTCCAAGTGCCTACACAAGTGCCAACCAGGCTGGTTGCCTCTTTTAGAGGAAGGAAGCACCCTTTGGCCCAAAGACGAGTAGGGCAAGGCTCAGGCAGCTTCTGGCTTTTAACTCGGGGCTGCATTTTCCTGCTACAGAATGACTTCGTTCCACACCAGACTCATAGGCTGCCAAACTTTGCCTAGCCTAGCCTGATTCCTTTGCTAGCCTCTCACCAAGCACAACATGCCGTGTTCAGGAGAGGCATACAACTGCACTGCCCTTCCAAAAATAAACATGGCCGATCTTCTTTCACTTTATCCACATTTTTGTGTTTACATGCAACTGACTGACTGGAAAACAACTTGAGCTACAAGCTGAGGCCTCTAGATGAGAAGGCAGAAGGAGGAGAAAGACGGGAGTACACCAACTCCTTTTTGCAGAAACAGGACAGAACTCTTCTTTCAACAGGGACATGCAGGATAAATTCTTCTTTGTGGCCTCTGTGAATCACAAATGGATTCTCCTGCACCTGCACACTGCACCTTCCAAACTGTCTAGACCCGTGGTTCTCAGTCGTTGGTCTTTCAGGTGTTTTGGACTCTAACTCCCAGAAGTCACAGCCAACTTACTAGCTGAAGTCCAAAATACCTGGAGAACTAGAGGTGGAGGACCAGTGGTCTAGAGCTGTAGAGAGACATTTTTGTGTGCTGTGGGCAGGCTAACCCTTTGGTGCAATTTCACAGGTGATCAACACAATTACAGGTTGGCACCCAGCCCCCCCCCCCCCCCCAAATTGCTTAGAATATAACCAGCTCCCTGCTCTGGCATGCCTTGCAAGGCCTGGCATCATGGTAAACATCCAAAAACCCACTGGTGTCTCTTTCCAAGCCTTAGTGCTTTGCAAACACTAGGCCAACTCTTTGTGGTCAACTTGCTACAGGGGACTCTAGAGGAGTTTTCTTTTCAGTGTGTTCAAAAGCATTTCTAGAAGTCAGCTTGTTTGCCAACTTCATTAGATGCAGCTTTACAGGACTACAGTCATCAGCCATAAAAATAAAAAACAAACCGGAGGCACATATGTGAGAAATCTTTGTTGCCTGGTGGGAAAGCGGGGGCCAATTTGCCCCAAGACCCATGGAAGGAGGGGAGAGGTTAAGAAGTTCTTAATCCCTACCATAATCCAATGTGCCTTCTTTAAAAATGAGTTGTGGAATGAGAAACTACTATTCATCATCATGGTCCCTGTAAATTCGCACATATGGTGTTTCCTACGTGCCACACTGGACAGCAGTACGTCAGCCCAAGTTGGAATTGGGGTTAGGCTATTTCAAGAATTCCGTGCCTTCTTTCAGTTCTCTTCAGCAGATTATAAGAAGCTACATATGCTCTGGAATAGCCATTTTGCCAACTTGCCACCATCCTTCCTAACGGAATATGACTCTCATAATCCCTTAGGAAGGCAAGAGAAAAGTTGGAATATTCGACAGCAGTAAGTCAGCCCAAGCTGGAATTCCTTAACACAGGAACAAGGCTAAGGCTTTTGCAAGAATTCCGTGCCTTCTTTCAATTTTCTGAGCAACTTACAAGACGCTACATATGCTCTGGAACGGCCAGAGACCACCTTGCCAAGTCTCACCTTGCTTTGAGAGTACCATTTCACTCTGCCAACAGAAATAGCCTCAGAGTTCTCAACGTTACAGTGGGGAGGCCAAGCCTTCAGCACTTTGTAGTGCAAAACTTCATACATTGGCCAAGGTACTTCTGTGGTTTATAATCCCTTAGGAACATGGGTCAGCCATGAAGTATGTTTTTCATGCTCTGGTTTCTCAGTTCCCAAGCACAATGGGGCAAGGAAGGCCTTCCAGGGGTAAGGCAGATACATTCAGGGGCATGCCACATACTTTGATTTGAGCAAAACTCCTGTGTTCAAAAGATTGGGGCTCCCAATTTGTCCTCTGAAGTTGGCTCAGGCGCCTAGATGCTAAAGCCTTCCCTAGAGTCTCCACTTTTTTCACATTGAGCAAATGTATCTCTATAGACAAGACACCATTTATAGGTTCCACCACTTGATCTCCCAAATAGAATGTTAAAGAAAACTGTGTGTTCTTTTGAAGCCTTTCCTGCTCTTGTATAGTAGAACTGTTCTATATTTTGTCTCTGTATGTACTGTACATGTAAGTTATTAAGTATTGCAAAAATATGTATACAGATCTCATGCAGTAAATGAAATTGTTTAAAATGTACTGGTGTGTCCCTGAGGATTCTTTTCTATTCCCACCCTCATTTTCCTTACAATACTTTAAGTACGCCTTGTAAAGTATGTATTTTAAAGGCTAAGTCCATTACCAGTGGAGCTCTCATCTCTTGTCCAACCAAATGCAGTTGCTTCCTCTATGTGCCACGCCATTTCTAAATTTCTAAACAACATTGAACTGGGAAGAAGGAAAAAGGAACAGAGGCAACAAACACTCGCCAAAAAGAAAGGTCAGTTTTTAAAACTTTTTTATTTTTAATTTTTTTTGAAGTTTTTATTTTATATTATCTACAAAGTAAAAGTTTCCTCTTAACTTAAAAGTTACCCCACTGCCTTGCGACAGCCGTTTCCCCCTCATCAAACATGATTTTATAAATAATAAATCCGTATCTGTTTGACGATTAGAGTTTACTTTTTCCAAACCTTTCAAGTTTAGTTAGAAGTAAAAGGAATTTTTTTACGTCTCAATTTTTGATCTTTTTTTAAAGTGAGAATAGCAGCAAGAAATCACTCTCAGTAAGTCTTTCTCTAGCTGATGAATTTATAACATTGAAAGGGATGTTTTAAAAAATAAATAGCTTTTCCAGTTTTTCTGCAAGCAGAACTGGGGCCTGGGGTGAAGGTTTTGTGTTTTGTAATTTTTTTTGTTGACACAACGTATGGAATAATGAAATTGTTTGTTCCCAAGGGTTCTAACATGCCTTTCTCCGAGTCCAAATTTCTCCTACTGAAGTGTGGATTGTGAGCATTCCTTTCTGATGTTACACTCCCCCCCCCCTCATAAAACAAACCAAAAAAGAGAGAGAAATGCTAGGGTTTTTTTTTTGTTTTTGTTTTGTTTCTGTGCTTCCAAGGTTGGCAGAAGCATATGGCATTTTGCCTAAAAAAAGAAAGAGGGATCCAGCCTCACAGTTACTCCAGGTCGGCTTTACAACTGCTGTTGATGGTGGGTTTGTACTGTAAAGAAAAAAAAAGGGGTGGGGAATCAGGAGGAGAGAACAGGTTGGAGACTGAGAACAATCCCTTCAAAGCCCAGAAACCCAGCTGTAAGAGGCGTCCTGGCTGCTGCTACAATTGACATTAAGACCAAGGAAACCAATTCTGTTCCTCCCAAGCCTCCTCTCATTCCCTAAAGTTTGGGGGAGAAGAGGTACGAAAAGGGAGTCAGGAGAACAGCTGCTTCACCCTCACCACCACCAGAGCAGAGCAAGAAGAGCAGCAAGGCAAGGCTTGGAGGCAGAGCAAAGGCCCAAGGGCAACACAAGCCTCCCCAGGAGGAGGACACTCTCAGAGAGCCACAGCTAGTGTCCCCTTGACTGCCATAGAAAACCAAGGTAGGTTTGGCCCTTCCAAGAAACCAGGGAGGTGGTGACTCCTTGTCCTCCATCTCAAGGAAGCAACCCTCCCCTTCATCTCAAGGGGGGACCCTGGCCAACCACAACGCTCTGGGGGGACTTGCTCCTTGCCCTTCACTTTACTCTGGAGCCACACAGACTCATCTTGGGCCCTGGCCAGGCTTCTCTCCTGGCGGCCTCGCAACCTCCCTGGCACATGCACTCCTCTCACCTGAAGGGTGCGTCATATAGGGGAAGTGTGTTGCTGTCGAAACTGGAATGTGCTGTAGTGCACTTTGCGCAATGGCAGCTTGGGCCCCACCGGGTGGCGGCTGGGTCGTCATGAGCATCATTGGAGCCTGGGCAGTTGGATGAGACGGAGCCATCCCCGACTGCACATGGGCCTGAAACAAAGAGCTCTTTAGTTGCAAGGCCGCAAGGAGGGAGCCCTGCCGGGGTCAGGGGAGGCCCCACCGCAGCACTCAGGCGCCCGCCTCACATGGGCCCCGTTCGGCGCAGGGCCCAAGTCCAAAGCCCTTGCCCTCTGGGCTTCTGGACAGGCAGATTTCCCAAGGGAAACAGAGCAAGAACTGGCCGCTGAAGGTAAGAGAAAGGCCAAAGGAAGAGCAAACCTCCACAAAAGCAGCAGAGAGCAGAGAAGCCTCCTGCCCCATTTGAATCAAGAAAAAGAGAAATGGCCCCAATATCAGCAAGCAAAGCTCGTGTCATATGGTTAGAAGGAAGTTTCAGTTTGCCCAGCAGAAGATATTTCCCGTACTCAAAGGATCCACTTACCTGTGGCTAAACATTTACCATCCCCATAAAGGATTCCTCTCATTTACCATGGCATTCCTAAGGTGGCACCTGCCACCAACCACCTGGAAAACCTTGCTCCAGATTTCCAGCCCATGAAAGAACCCTACCATCAGAGCAAATCCTTCAGGCAAGCCCAGGGGTGGCCAACAGCTATGAGCCTGCCCCTCAAAAGGTAAGGTGGGGGCACTTCCGCTATGTTTTTAGCACATCCCCCAGGCTAAGATGTCAAATGGAACAAACAAAACACATTTAGAAGTCCTTTTTCAAGGTGGCTGGGGGCCAGTCTTTCCCATTCAGCCGGTGCATGGTTTCTCTTTTCATCCTGCTTTGCAGAGAGGATTTGGGGGGCCAATCTCTACCTTTGTAGGGGCCAGCAAGGCAGACAGATTACAATTTCCTCTGGGTTATGCTTAGAGGACAAAGGATATTGATCAAGCCATCTTTGAAGAAGGCCCCTTTCTCTGAAGCACTCTGTGGGCCCCTAGAAGGGCATTCCTTCCCAGATATTTCAGGTGTAAGATGACATCCAAGCCTGAATGGAAGGTATTGCTGCAAACTCCAAAGCCCGGCTGCCACCGCCAGGGTCCCTCCCACAATGCTTCCAACAGACCCCCACCTCCAAAGGCAACCCCATGTCACTGTCACTTGGGATTGCTCTGCTTGGTTCCTAGCCCACCGTTCTAGAGAACCGCCTCTCCCCAGAGCCACTGGGGCATTCTCCTTACCTGGGGCATGTGGGCCATGTGTGGTGGGTTGGTGTAGGCCGGTTGGACATGGGAAGGATGGATGGCAAAGACGGTCTGTTGTGCTGTTGGAAAGCTGCTCTGTGGCGACTGGGTGTTGGATCCGGGGGTCATGGAGGGAGGGGTGGGCGCCAGGCCGGCATGGTAGAGGGCTGACTGCTGCTGAGCGTTCGTCAGGTGGAGGGCCTGGGCCGCCTGGTGCTGGTGGGCCAGTGGGAGAGACAGAAGTCATGAGGCATCAGTGGCCCAGCAGGGCATCATGGCAGATTTGTCAGAGACCCTGCTTTTGGAAAAGCCCCAAGGACACTGAGTCCCTGTTTTGCCAGGCAATACCTTGCCAAAGAATTAGCTGAATACTGGGGTACTTAAACACCCTTGCCACAGATGTGCAGAATTTGACACAAGTGATTGATTCTACTACTTTGAAAGTATATTGTTTTTGTAACTGTAACTTGTGTTTACAAGAGTTTTCAGAAGCTTCTGTGAGAGGCAAACGTAATACATTTCATTTATGAAATATGATTTGTGGCTTCTGTCTTCTTACTATATGGAGAGAGTTCATCCCAGCTGCCAACTTCTTTTTGAGAAAGACAGCAGCAGGGCAGCTCCCCCGCCCCCCCGGAGCTGGATACATGGTGGCCCCTTCCATCAGGCCTGGGCACAGCGTCAAGACCAAAAACGGCTAATGGGGACGGGGCAGCTTACCTGCACAGGGCTGGGGGCAGGGTGGCTGCCTCCATGCTGGCCCTGCTGCTGCCCCGTGGGGGTGGCTGACGGCTGCGGGTGAAGGGTGGCACTCGGGTGGGCATACTGCTGGGCAAGGGAACCCGTGGAAACTATGAAGAAAAGGAAAACAACGCATGGAGAACAGACCCCCCAGCTCAGAGACTCGGCACACTCCCTGCACTCTGGACACCTCCCTTTTGGACCACGCCTTTTCTAAACTGAGGCTAGTCTTGGCTCTTCCTTAGCTCCCTTAGATCTCCTCTGTCACTTATCTTGGGTTCTTGCCAGAAAAATCTAACAGGGAAAACTGTGCTTTTGGTCATAGCTCCCTGTGCATCAAGATACTGGACTTGCATAATTTCCTCTGGATGCAGCATTTAGGTTACCAACACACCATCCCTGCCATACACAATATTCTTTCTTTTTTAAATTTTTTTAAACAAATGTATACATACCCATAATTACTATACTTTTTTCCGTTTTCATTCCCTTCTCCCTCCCCACACCCACCCCTCCCCCTTCCCTGTTGACAACTTAATCCCTTTGTTTCCCATTACATGAGCATTCTTTCCATTCTATCTAATTTTTTCTTCCAGCTTTCATAAGCTGGTTTAACAACCTGCAACCATCTGTTAAAGGGAGTTCACATTTCTTTAATTTTCTTTGTGACCAAGCATGTCCATAATATTCAGTTGTATTTGGTCTCACACATATTCACACCATTTTCCAAGTGTCAATTTCTTTTTATCTTTCCACCCCCAAGTTATTACTGCATGTGCTGCTCTAAAAATCATCATCATTAATTCTTGGTCCTTAATTCCTCTATCACGATATATATGCCTATTAACAAAATTTTCATATTTATATCAAATTTTATTTTAGGATGTAATTTAGCCTGGTTTAGAATTTGATTCCAGAATTTTTGTATCTCTTCACATTCCCACCATAGATGTGAATACCATGCTTCTCAACTCCCACAATCCCAACATTTGGGATATAATCCCTGAATCATATGTGCCAGCTTAATTGGTGTTCTATACCATTACTACCATTCCTTTCCTTGTCAACAGAGAGCAAACTACATCTGCTAGTAGAAAGTAAGTGATTATTTCAATTTCAGGCAAAAGGTCTTCCTGAAGTGATATCCAGGGTTTCAAACAGCAGGTCCCAAACTTGCTGTAAACACACTCAAACCCTAAAATCTGCAGCAAACTCACGAAGAGGGTTGTTGCCAGAAACCACATCCAGAGTAACAACTGCTGGCCTTTCACATGTCAGACTACTTACATGAAGGAATTATTCCTCCCCCACCTGCCGCCAAGTAAAGTAGAAAGAAGTCAGTGATAGTCTTTGCAATCATCAAGCCTCGTCTGATCACATCCTTATTCCAAATGGAGCAGAGGTAAACTGACAGGGTTTGCCTAATGGGCACTCAGTACTGAGTGATGTCAGGTAATATGGCCCTTGGTTCACTACACAGGATTTTATACAAACGAGCATTATGAAGAAGGAAAAAGAAGCACGCAAGAAGAGGCTAATCCCTTCTAGCCAGGTGGAAGGGAAACCCAGCCCAGTTTCAGGCAGAAGGTCTACTTCCTGCAGGGAATTTCCTTTTCGCCCCAGGATGGTGAGGTCTTCCGGAGAGGAAAAGGAGGGGCCCTGTGCCTCCCTGGCCCTGGGGACACAGGAAATGCCAGCCCCCAAGGGAAGCAAAACCTGCATCCGAGGGTGTCCTGGCTCTCAAGAGATGCCGACCCTCCTGGTGGCAGCTCCTTTTGGTGCGCTCTGAGGGACAGGGGAATCTAGCACTGCCTCACAGGACTACAGGTCTGAGCACAGGGAGCCCACTTCCATGGCTGGAATAAGCAAAAGGCTGCACCTGCGATACATACGTCTTCAAGACAGCAAACAGTATAGAGAGAAGGAGGGAAAAGTTAGCTAAAATCAGCCCCTATTCCACTACTGTAATTGAACTAAATGAAAGTGAGCTGAATGAAATAGAAGTCACCATTAAAGCATGCTCTCATGAAACCTAGTCAAATGGCAACAGAGACTATCATTTCAATAGTAAAAAGCAGAGTACTTGCACAGCATAAATACCTTTGGAATCATGTAAATAGGAATTACAGACCAACCATGGGTTCAGTTTGACCAAGAGCAATGTGCCTGGAAAGAACTTCTTGAATGAGTTCCAATGCAAATTCCTGGGGGAGATTGGCACAGTCTTTGTGGGCCTGAGAGGAGCTGTGAAGAGTAGGCTGGGCCGGGTCAAGCAGACCACCTTCTTGCCCTCCTAAACAGCTCAGTCTACTCACCTGCTGTTCTGAGACACTGAATCCAAACACACAGAAAGTAAAACCTGGAACTTCAAAGGTCCAGCAGCCTGACTCTACCTGCCTTGATAATGAGGCCGGTGGGCAGCAGCTCCCTATACCAGTTCTGTGAGATTCAATCTTGCAAAGACAACTCTCAGAACTCAAACCTTCCTGGAGCCTCACTTGATACCCCCTCAGACTCATCAATGCCTCCTCTCAAGCATCTACTTGGAAAGCATACCCTGGATTCTTACAGGTTGGGGGAGGGGGGTCCCCATATTTGGAAGCTACCTGCTTTGATTTCCCCCCTGCAGTGATCCTTTGGCCCCAAAAAGATGGCATCAGAACACACAACTAGTTTTAAATCCCTCCCCAAAGACACATCAAGCATGGTCAAATTATCCCCACATGGTCCCTAAAGTGTGTGTGCGCATATTTCTAAACAAGGTAAAAAGGGGAGGGGGTGGCACTGTGGGGCATGTAGCTCCTCAAGCTGGATCTAACCTGCCATATAACCCAGTTTCTGAATCCAGATGATCTGCTTTGAATGGGATTATATGAGTCTGCACTGTCATATCCAGCTCAAAGCAGATCATCTAGATTCAGAAACTGGATTATATGGCTGTGTAGATGGCAACTCAGTCCCTCCCTGCTCATGCTGTGGCTCCAAGGACATGCAAAACACACACAGTCACACCAGAAGCCATTTTTAAAATTTTCATCAATAGCAGTCCATTGTTGGCTCTTATTTTACCTACAAACGGATTGGGAAAATCATCCATTTTTATATTTCTTACCAGTTCCCTTTGTGTCCTAGACCTCATTTCCCATAGATTTGGTGCAGAGGCAGACGGAATTTGTCCCACAGATTTTGTTTCACAGCAGTTTACTATATAAAAATCAAAGTTAGTACAAAAAACCCAACTCACTGGCAAAGTAGAAAGAAGGGCCTGTCTCCTTGCTGTAGGGTATTTTGGGGCATGCTGAATTTGGGAAATAGAAAGGGAAATTAGCCACATGCTACAAGATCAAAGCCCCACCTCCAGTCTTCTGGAAAGCTGAACATTATATGCATTGGCAATTGGGAAAAAATTAAAAAGGTTTTCGAATGAACGAATTCTTAGCTGGACTATAAATGGAGAATAAAATGTTGATCATGTTTGGTGAAATTAGCATGGTATTAAACAAATAAGGATCAAAAGTATTTTAACTAATTTGCAGTGGAGATAAAATACATTAATCCCAGAAAACTGGATGCCCACAATAAGCATAGTTCCTTTCTCCCACAAACTGTTCAGTTCAACATACAGACATTTTAGCAAAGACAGAAGACTACGGAGACGAGAGACAGAGCAGAGAAACAAAGTGAGGAAACCAGACACAGAACAAGAAGCGACCCAAGAGGAAGATACAGAGTCACACTCAGGAATAAACCTGATTTGGGGAGGGGGTTGCAATTCAGACCCAGCCTTTCAAGGCGCCACAGAAGCCCTGCAAATTCATGCTACTGCTCCTCACGCACGGAGACAACACAAAGTCCTTCTCTCTCTCTGATACCACCTTCTGGAGCAAGGCATACTGCAGGGTAATAATGTAGGACGGTTTTGCTACATTCCAAAATAGACAATGGATATATCGACACTGCTTTGCATCTAACATGCCTTCTAGTAATGTCAGCCACAACCCCACAAAACCAAGAAGTGTTACAATCCCCATATATCAGATGGGAGAAAGTGTTCATGGGCCGAGGGAAAAGGAAAGATCTGCCGATCACAAAGACATTCACATTGTAAGTAAGTTTTCCTAGCACACACCAAAAGAAACACTTCCTTTGCGAGTGGAAGCTAACTTGGCACCAGACAGTCGAGAAAGCAGGAGGCAATACTCACAGTATTGCAATATATGGAACCTGTATTGAAGGTGACAAAGTATCAACGCACCTGATGTTTCAACTTTCTAACAACCACATCACAATCTCCATAAAACGGGATGGCACTGACTGGCATCACCAAACAAATATAAACCTCCTGTCTTCAGCTACAGCGTACTCTGAACAACAGAGGGCGCCTGAGCACCTCTGAGCGTCTGCCTGGAAAAGACTTGGCCTCACATCCAAGCAGGCACCTTCAAGACAGTTGTCAAGAGCAAGAAAAGATGCCGAGGAGACATCTGCCAAGTATGAGGGGGAAAGGAGGGGGGGCTTGCTATGTACTTGCAAGGTAACCAGTACCTGAGGTCACAAGGCAGACTGGCCTCCAGATTCAATCCAGAGAGACACCTGTTCTAGGAAGCTGAAAAGGGCCACAGCACCATACACTTCACAGTCAGGACTCAATCCATGGCTGCGAAGACCGACAGCCAAACAGGACTGAGGAGTAGGAATTGGCTCCCAGGATTGTGCAAAGGGAGGCCCTGGTCCCACAAATCCCTGCACAAATTGGATGAGTCAGAGAAGAGGGATATTAGGACTCCAGGGGAAAAAAAGATTATTTATAGACTCTGCTGATGAAACCTTGACCTCTGTGTTTCAGCGGATGCTGGTTGATGCAAGGCTTTGGGAAAAGGCGCTCCTTGTCACATGATACCCCCCCCCCCCCCCCCCCGCATTCCCCCATGACCAAGCAGAGTTTGGAAGAGGCCTTTGCAGAGGCAGGAAAGAAGGAAGATGACCGCAGGCCTTTTTCTAAAAAAGGATCTGACATGGAAGAGTCAAAGGGATGGTGCAATGGCATTCCTGCTTCACAGCTGCTCTTGGCTCTCTGCGTCTCACACAACTGGAAAGGGACGAGGGTAGGTGTTTTAGCTGATTTTCACATTTATGCAGAAAGGGTCCCTTGGCCCTCATCAACTCAGTCAGTGCATCTCCCAGAGCAATTTAGAAACAGAGCAAAGGAAGCCTCCTACCATACATGGTGTGTGTCTGCTCATGGGCCCCATACTGCGTAGCAGTGGAAGAGACTAAGCCAGGCTGCAGATGTGCTGGTGGCGCCATCATCCTTGCATTGCCCTGTATGACAGGGCTATAAACGTGAGGGTGCTGCGTAGGGTAGAAGGGAGAGAGAGGGGAAAGTGAGAACTATATCACCATGGGGACTTTAGGAGAAGCAAACAAACACATAAAAAATGAATTTCCTCAAGTTAGCAAAGTGTATGACTTGGATACCAGAAATCAAAATCTCAAATCAAGTGTGAAAAAATATTAGAAGGAAAGCTTTCACAATCCAGCACAACTCTACTCTGTCAGATTTTCTCATTCTTGCTGTTCTAGAACATAGGCCCCTGGGCTCTGTGGCACTATGGGCATGCCACCAGGTAGCACAACACTTTTCAATACGAGCAGCAGGAGGTACTAATCTCAGCTGCACTTTGCATCCAGGTTATGATCCAAGATGGTGCTTCTTCAAGCGATCTGACGCAGGGGACCACTCCCCTCAATGACCCAGCAAAACATGGCACACATCTGTATGCACTGACTGCAAGCGTTTCATTCCTGCAAACTCCTTGAGCCAGCAACCCACAGCTCAGAGACTGGCACTGGTCCACAGAACACTCCTTTGAGAGGCACTACTCTAAGGAGCCTTCACCCATCTTTCAGCAAGAGCATCCTCACACATAGCACCACAGGTAACCCACCCCTGTGGCCTTCCTCAAAGTGTTATGGAGTGTATTAGCCTTCCGACAGCACCCAGTGTGGCAAAGTGTGCAAGTAAGAACGCCAACATGAGTGGAAGTACAAAAAAGCAAGAGCCCTGCAGAAGGCCTACCTGAGACTGATAATGTGGCACGTGCTGAACAAGAGGCTGGTTGGGGAACTGCTGGGGGCTGTAGGCAACATACTGTGCAGAATAAGCCGGGGGGGTGGCGACGATTGGCGCCCCGGCTGCAGAGGCAGGGTGCATCATGGCATTCTGGTGGTGCTGGTCTTGACGCTGCTGGGGCATACTTGATACTGTGGGGAAGAAAGGATACGTTAAAGAGGATGTGGCCCCCTCCCTCTGCCCTCCCTCCCCATCTAGATGACAGACTTTACTTGAATTCAACGGTTACCATCTAACTTGCTCTCCTGTTGATTTTTAACCCATAAACACAATAGCACTATTAAATCAGGCAAGTCCTGTCATAAAACTGCAGATGGAGAGCCCAACAATTTGGAAGGGTTTGTAAACAGCTCTTTTATGAACAAATTAAGATGCAATAGAGCAACTGGAGTGTCACTATTCCAGATGCAAGGGAAGTACCAAGAGCATGCAGTGTTGTATCATTCTCACCTTTACCTGCTCTATAGGTCTTGGCCTGGTTGACCGGCATGGGGGTCATTGGAATCGGGTACAGAGGCTGAAAGACAAACAGGCCTGCCATGAGAAATTCCCACAGATGCATCTTCTCCAGAAGCATTTGCTGAGTTCTGACCAGCAGAGGTTTGCCCTTCAATTTTTTTTGGGGGGGGGGGTGCTCCCTTCTTGGGCTAGCTATGGAAAGGAGGGCAATGCAAAGCCCCAAAGAAGCCTCCGGGGGGGGGGGTGGGGGGGTGGTGCATGGCAAGGGTCAGAGGGCCGGTCAGGATCTTCACAGTCCTCTACCATCACAGTAGGGGCCCCAACTGCTAACAGTTTTTCCCCACACACCCAATTCAGACTTATTGTGGCAAGATGTCCAAAAGGGCAGCTTCAGGTCCCATAGAAAACAATAACTTCACACTACTCCCCTAAAGTGCTTCATTAAAGCTGGAGGGGAGAAAGCAGGCTTTATCAGACCAATGCTTTTACACTTGAACTGGAAAGCCAGCGCAGGGCGCTCTAATCGCAAAATAAACTGGGGCCAGTCCAGCCCCCCCGCGGGCAAGGTCAGCTCTCCCTCCGGCACAATTGGCAGGCCTGCTTGAAGCCAGGGGGCAGGTGGAGAGGGCCGGGTTGGGAGGGAACGGGATTAAAATACTTGGCTCAAAAAGGGCCTAAAAATAAACACCTCGCTCAGAACCCACCAGCGCATGCTCTCTAGGCAGCAGACCGACTGCCAAAGACGCAACGTATTACTACAAGCTGGTATTTTTGGAGTGCTGCAGTCGCCATAAAGGAGCAGCTGGATTCTACTCACAGCTCGACTGAATGTTCCTTTCAGACCTCACTTGGGATTCGTCAAGTTAAAGATGCACTAATTAACCAAGGATCAGATAACACTGGATCCAAAGTCAAAGCACACAGCCAAAACATGGGGCAGCCTGTTCGGCCCACATGTTTAAGGCAAACCTTGGTGCAAATTTTAGCCATTGGTAGCACTAGCTTCAACCTATTCTCTAGTCTTGCCACACACAAACATCTAGTAAGAAGACCTGTCGGCTTCTTGAGAGCTATCTTGGCGCGCCTCCCCCATTGCCAGGCTCAAAAGTGCCCTGCTTTCCGACCTCCAAAGCAGTACTGAGCTGTCATCCCCATTTAACCCCAAGAGCATGGGTTTATTTGCTGCAGGAAAACACCTGGCCATTTACCTGGACTCCAGGGCTCACGGGAACAGGGTACATCATGTTGGGAGCGAAGCAAACCGGCTGGGTGTAGACGGGAGCAGGCTGCTGGTGGCCCAAAATCGAGGGGCTGGGCTGGGCTTGCGGACGGGGTGATGTCGGCGTAGTCGAAGGCTTGGGCTGCCAAAAGGAGGAGCACTTGAGTTGCAAACAAGCGCCTAACATGTCAATGACAAGTGCATCAAGACATCCCCAACAAGCTGCTTGTGATGGGTGTAAAAGCCCAAGGACAAAGGTTGTAGTCTCCCCTTCAAAGGAGAGAAAACAGAGAGACAACTTTGGAGAACTGAGATATGGGGACACCTTCCTTTCTTACACTCACCTGAGCAAATGACCGAGGATTGAACTCCTTTGCATTAGGATTTAGTGTTGATTTTCTAACTTGTCTGGAAAGAAAATACAAAGGTGGTGCATGTCAGCTGGTGCCCTGCCACAGGATCAAGCTGAATACATGCCCCCTTCTCCTTTTTGGGGGACGCAAAACTTGCGAAGGCTGCACATTTGTCCTGGGAGGGATCTACATCTAAAGAGGGAGGAAAAAATGACCAGAAGAGAACTGGGAGGCTGGCCCACTACACCTCATGGCTCTAAAGTAGGAAATGACTGCATCGTATTTCTTCCTCCAGAATATCATCAGCTCCTTTTCACTGGGAATGAGAAAGTGGACCATGGGGACGGGGCCACAGGCACAATCCCGCAAGGACTGTTTAGATCTCCCCATGGGCATAGGCCTCCATGGGCACTGTTCCTTCAGCTGCCACCCTTACAGGCAAGACGGAAGGTGGCTCCCGACAGGCAATCTGCTAAATATTCCGAAACCAAATGTAAGGTTTAAGTGGTGTTACCAGAAGCTTCTGAGAAGATCAGACATAAATACGGAAAACACAAATCAGGATTACAGAAGAAAATGCTACATATATCCTTGGAATTCCTGGGCCACCAGCCCTCTTCTCCTATCTGAGGAAAGGCTTTGCACAGGGAGGGGGGGGGGAGTACTCACTCAGTGGTGTCCTTTTTCTCCTCTTTCTCCACTTTTCCTCCAGGGCTGGAGGTCTGCACCCCCTGTGAGGTCACCTCTGGCCCCGGCTTGGGTTCGGCGTTGCCACTGGGTGGGGAAGCACTGGGGCTGCTGGGCTTGCTGCTGCCGGCGCTGGAGGGGGTGGCCGTGCTCCCTGTGTCCACAGCAGGCTCCTTACAGCTGCCATCGCCCTTCTCCTTTGGAACGTCTCTGGACTTCTCCGCATCTCTGCTCTTGTTTAACAGCTGCTCCACACTTTCTGGGGCAGAACTCGGTTGTAACTGCGGAGAAAAAGAACCATACATTGCGGAAGTACCTCCAGAGAGAAAAAAAGAGAAGCACAAAGGCATGATCAACAAACAAATCAGGAGAGGGGACCCCTGTTTTCAAATGAGATTCATCCTGTTTTCTTTACACAGATAACTGAGTTATGGACAGCTATAAATAAAGCACAGAAATATTGGTTTATTTTAAAATGGTGGTTCTAAGTCTTTTTAAAAACCCAACCCAAAGGCAGTCATTCAAAACAGACAGGTTTCATACAATGGAACATTATGGACTTCTGTTAAGATTATGACCAATCTATTTAAAAATGGACATCCAAAATGTAATGAGCTAGCTGACCACACTTGTGTGGAAACCTATGTGTTGCATAAGTCTTTTCAATCAGATTGGCTGTTCTTTGAGGGGGGTCCACTTGGTGGTAAACCTGGAAAATTCTCCTAAGGGACAAGGACGGGTGGTAGAAGATCCAACTGACCACAGGCATATTAGACTTTCAACAATTAGATATTGCCAAATTTTAAAGTTTGCCAGCAAGTGTTCAGCATGAATGCTTAATTCTCTTGAGGCTCCTATCCCAGCAGGTCCTAGGCCAGAGCAAAAGGAAAATGGAAAGCCTTACTGAATGGCGGTATTTGATGGCCTTCCCCAGAGATCATCCCACGTCTGTTCCCTCCCTCTGCCCCCTGGCTATACATAACGTTTCTTGAGACATTGACCATAGTATCATTCAAATCGCTTGCAGCCCTCTCAAACCCTCTTTAAGTTCCAAGGATTTCAGTGCGGCAGAGCGAAGCATCTCCTCTGACCTGCAACAGCAAAGGGATGCAATTCTGCTTTTCTCCACTGGACCAGGATTTATTTTTTGGGGGGGAGATATCCTGCATCAATAGTAACAATCAGTGACAGCAGCCAAGACACTTACCCTAAAGTCATTCTTGAATTTCTTCAAGTCATCAATCTGCTTTCTATGTTCTAATACAGCTGGAGAAACACCTGGCAGATAACGTAAGACATGTACATATAACTACAATGGCATGCACATAGTTGGGGAGGGGGGAGGAAGAGGAGTGGGAGGGCAGAAACCAAAGAGCCTGAGGGAAGCCACAGCTTCCGACTCCAAAGAGAACAGCCAAAATCTGGAGGGCTGCCTGCGCTTTGCTGGGTGGGTGGGAGCCCCCAAAGAGCGCAGTGGAAACTGTAATCCAGTCACAACCCCAGAGGCCCGAGGGGGATCAGGCAGCTGCAGCAACACAAGAACCAACCTAATCTGCAAAGTAAGCGTTCTCTTTCTTCCTTTCTTTCCTTTGTGTGTGCACAAAAATATTTGAGGGCTGCCTCTCATTTTTTTTCCCCCACAAACCTTTATTTGTAGCCCAAGGAACATAGAAATCCACCTATGAGCTGTGTTTCTGGGCCCAAACACATTGGAAAGTCTCCTGTTAGGGAGCCAGAAGCATAAAACAGGCATTCTCTTCCTTCTGATTGGATACACCCAAGAGTGCATCTGCACTGTAGAATTAATACAGCTTGATGCCACTTGAGCAGCCCTGGCTCAATGAAGGCTGGGGGCTGTTTCCCTGCAGGCTGCCCAGGCCCACTGTGGTGATCCCTCCCACATCCCTTTTTCCAGCTTCAGAGTTGGAGCCAGAAGTGGGACTTTGTGTCAACCATGTTTGGTGTAGTTCCTAAAAGCCCAGCAAAAGCTTCCCAAACCCAGCAATGCTGTAGAGGTTTCTAATCTCTCCCTTCCCTCAGCCCTTCCTGTATCTGTAATTCCGAGGAGATGCCTCTGGGCCCAGGAAAGAATGTCTTGCATCTCCTTGGTTGGGTGATACGTCATGAGAGTAATGAACTCTCTCTCCATCACATTTACAGTTGCAGTTGTACCAATTTCACTGCAAGTTGAGAAATTCATGAGCCAATAAGTAGATGCTAAAACCCTCTCTTCTTAAGCCAAGAGCTACATATCAAATAGAGCACATCAAGGGGCAGAAAAACATCCCAAGGAGCTTAACCAAACACAGTTCTGCACAGCCTCAGCACAAGGGCTCTCCAAAATGTCATTCCACTGAACACCTGAAGGAACGTTCCCTCACCATTGCACCAAAAACCCAGGGTCTCTTTCTCCTTTCTTCCTTCCAACTGCCCTCCCACTCAGTATTTCTGTGAATGAGACTTGTGTACATTAAAAGGACTGTAACAGGATGACCTATTAAGTGACAATGGTGGCCTTAAGCCCCTGAATCCTACCTTTGCATTCTGGTTTACTAAAACTAGGAGACATTTCGCTCGGCTTCTGATGTTCCTTGTCTCCGGCAGGAGAAGAACTCTGCCTCTGGTCCTGAAGTCTGGAATCTTTAGCTAGAAAAAGATGGCAAAGTCAATCAAAAGCTGGACACCCCAAACATTGGAAATTTTGTATGAAAAACACTCCCATAAGTTTGAAGAGTTTAGTGCAAACTGAAACCCTCTGCAAGCCCTGGGCCAACACCACTGATTCTACCTGAGCTATTTTTCTACCTCAAACGAAACTTTGAATGAATTTTTAAAAAAATGTTAAGTTACTAACAATACAACACAGGAGCAAAGTGGAACTATTTTTTAACCAAACCTGCAAGAGACTCACCAGGAATTGCATATTATTTCCCTTAAAGCAGTGGTTCTCAACCTGGGGTCCCCAGATGTTTTTGGCCTTCAGTTCCCAGAAATCCTAACAGCTGGTAAACTGGCTGGGATTTCTGGGAGTTGTAGGCCAAAAACATCTGGGGACCCCAGGTTGAGAACCACTGCCTTAAAGTGAGACTTTCAACATTCTTGACATTTTTGTAAAGGCCTTTGCAAATTAAATTTATAGGGTCTCTTCCAAAATATGCGTAGGAACCCGATTTTTAAAAGCATCATTATATATATATATACACACACACACACACACACAAATAATGTTGCTTCTTGTGTATGCAAATACTGATTGGTGAAGCTGAAAGAAGGCCAGAGGGAAATATGAAGGCAACAAAGAAAGGACATACTTTAGGTCCTGGTTTTGTGTATTGTTTAACCAGCAATTTAGAAAAGTAGGAGATGTCTTATACATAAAGCTTCTCCTTCTTCGCTCAGCCTCCCTCCCTCTTCTCTCAGGCAAAGTGGGCATCAGACTGCCTTACGATGTGCGACCCTAATGCAGAAACCAGAATGAAGGCATTGGGAGTTGTGGAGGCCTAGCCTGCCTTTGCAGCGAGAGCGAGGGCAAGACTTGCTTGAGGGCTCTGTTACCTTCAGCGGAGGGGGTGCCAGCATGAGTGGCGGCTGCTGGGCAGGCAGGGGCCGGGGAGGCAGCCGGGGCAGCAGTGGCAATCGATTCGGCCAGAGTGGGGCCAGCTTGTGGGGAGGCCAGTGCGGGGCCCGGGGCACCTCCTCCGAGACTGCTCTGCCTGGGAGACCGGGGCCGATGGGCTTTTGGGGACGACCGCGTCACTGGGAACAGGAGAAAAGAGACCCCATTGCAAGGCACTGCAGCTGCTTTGCGAACATAAATGTGAAACCAAACACCAGGCCTGCACTGCACTTATAAAACTGTTAGTAAAAACCCTCTTTACCTTCCTCGGAAATTCCCCAGATTTTTGAGAGGCGGCTCCCCCAATCCCCACCCCAAGCAGCAAGTATTCCTCATAGAGGTGCATGTCCTCCCTTGGACGCAGAGCAAAGATTCCTCTCCTGTGAAACAACACTGGATTAACTGACTGCACCAAAGCAGACAACAGTAGAGGGAAGCCAGTGTAGACAGTCAAAGAAGTGAGGCACAAGCCCCTTGCCAATTCCAAGCTCACTTCTATGAGAGGGACTATATCTCAAGCTGTGCTTTCCAAGTGAACTTAGCTCCCAAATACATGTAACAAGGAAGGACCAAAGAAGAAAGGCTCCATTGAAACCTTGAGGCACGATCTTATGTCCATCCTCCCAGGGAAACCAACTTATAGATCTATTGACATTTGCCTGTTTTTATCCCACTATTACCTCCTAAGATTTCAGAGACTTACAACACTCACTTCTTCCCAGTCATCCTCAAAGAAAGAGAGGAATCAGGAAAACGTTTTCAGTTACCCCCAAATTCAGGTGAGACTAAAAGCATAAGAAATCCAACTTGCCTAGCATCCTGCCCTTTCTTAATTCTTCTACCACAGAGGAACCTTCAAAATAATAATCCTTTACAGGACCCAGGGAGCCACTGCATCGAGAGTTCTGTCTCTAAGGCTCAACAAATGTTTACTTAGTTTTTCCATCACAATCTCTTACTAGACCCCTAGCAACCCTCGCATGGAACTCTGAGGGGTTCCATAGAACCTTGCTTAAGAAACAGAAGAAGGCAGAACCCATTGCAAAGCCTCTGTGCCACGGAGGCCTCCTCCACATCATCAGAGAGAGAGCAGCAGACATGGATCACCTGAAAGGACAGTCCACTGCCCACCTGACAACGGGTGGAATAAGCATGCACTTCGCAGCCGAGACGCACAGCGCAGTGTGGACCGCAAAGCCCCCAGGGCCGCTTTCTGTGGGAAGCTCAGCCGTACTTACCCCCCATGACCACAGATGACCACGTCCCACTTGAAGGGCTGCCTCGGGTGGAGGAAGGCGTGGAGGCTTCTCCTGGCACATTGTGAGAGACAAATTCTAAGCCACTTGAAACCATACCCCTCCCCGCAGACACTCTGTGGCCTCGAGGGTGCCGCTGTGCCTTAGGAGACATCCGTGGCGGTCCTTGAAAAAGCAACACACACACACCCTAAACGGTGAACACCACAAAACACCCCCTTTTTTGCAGCCGCATTCCACCAACACGTTTTTAGTACATTGCCACATTTAATACATTGCCACAAAGCTGCCACTGCAGAAGGACTAGAAGGGAAGTCTACTGTTTTACAAGCTTGCAATTTCTAGGTCTCTACGCAGAGATATTTCAAGTTTTTACATATGTCATAATATTCTAGAATAAAGGCAGTGGTTTACCCTCAAGGAAACTGGCCCCCACCATGGTCATCAAGAGGACCTGAAAAGCTGCCACTGAAAAGGTTTGATCTGTGCGTCCCACATGGAAAAAGACAAAGCCTGTCCCTTCCTGTCCTGTGACAACATTAACCTCCTTCAACAGAACCAATAGACTGAGCCAAGCCCTACTGAATTCCAACACAAGTCAGCTTCCTCTGGTTAGGGCTACTCTCTCCACAACACCATGGCCTGCAGAGAGGTTTTTGCCTGTTTTACAGGCCCCTCTTTTGCCTGCTTTATGCATTCCTATAAAGGCAGAAAATAGCCTCCAATAGGAGACACTGAGAAACTATGCAGAAGGAACACTCCTGGCTCCTTCACGAAGGTTACACTGGAGGTCGGAAGGGGACCAAACAATCTCTGCCTCCTGGATCTTCTGACCCTTTGCAAATATTCCCCACAATTGTCAGAAGAATATCTGAAAGTTACATTAGCATTTATTGTTTATATTATTTTAGCCCAAGGATGTCTACTTTTCATTTTTTTCCCCCCAAGGTAGGAGAGTCAGCTCTCAATCTAAACAAAAGCCTAGTTAGCTCTACTGAAGGTTTGTTTCTAATTCAGAATTTGAGACCAGCTTCAAACTCAGGTTACAAACCAAGCCTAGTTAACCCTGAGCACACCTAAGGCCTGTGCTAACGCTCACCTTTTCAGCACAGGGACAGCCTACAAGAGATGATTACAGCATTCACAAGGGTCCTATTTATATGGGTTCTGACTGGCATTGAAGCTGAATGAGGTCTTCCTCCCCGTGATTTTGGACTTTATATAAAGGACTCTCTTAGAAAAAAAAAAGTGGTCAACAGAAATAACCAGGTAATAAACGCAAAAAACAATAGCTTTGCAAAGTGCACGAATTATAGGTTCAAGCCAGGAAGAGCACATTTTTTTCAAAACTATAATTCACACGAGAAAGAAGGGGGGAAACACAAAGACAAACGGAAAAGTCATGAACAAACCCAACGGTGGTCTTTGTACCTTCTGAAGACATGCGTTTAGGCATAGTGGAGGCAGGCGCTGGAGAGCCATGAGCAGAGGGGTGAGACGGGGGCCTGGAGGGCCGCGAGGGGGGCCTGGAGGGCGGCCTTGTAGGGGTGGCTGCCCGAGGAGGAAGAGTGGTGGGACCTGACGGGTAGCGAGAAGGTGGGCGAGAGGAAGGAGATGGGCAAGGCGATGGCCAGGGAACACCTGACAGAACAAATGAAATGAAGGAAAGCATAAAAACTAAAGAAACAAAATATGGGGGGAAAAACAGGGAGGGGAAAGTAAAAAATGACAAAAATGATTTCTCATCCTTCTTTGGCGTCCTTTAACCCACTGGGTTGTTCTACGGGCTCATACAAAAGGTGAAGGGCCACTCTGAAAGTTTTTCCACCCTCTGTTGAGGACATGTCAACCTGTAGAAATGTTTTGAACCCCCAATGGATTAAATTCAGGAACTATGAACACTACCGCCGAAGTATAAATCTGTCAAACTGTCTAGGTATAGCAGACCCCACTGGTACCAACGATGCCATGGGAGCAAGGAAGGCCCAAACATGCAATTCACCCCTTCCTTGTTTGGTGAAACATGGCTGTACCAATTTAGCTGGTATAAACAGTCCTTGTCTTTGGCAGAGCTGCTCGTTTGGCATGGACGTACCAGAGGCTCCCATAAGGCTGAAGCCAGCGGAACGCCTTGCCTTCTGGATTTAACGCCTTCCTATGGGAAGACAAGGGGAAAGGACCAAAACTTCTCCCAAGAAAGAGAGTTGTGTTCAGCGCCTGACATTGGCATCTATTGAGCCCTTTCAATAATGGAGTCATTCAGCATTTTAGCAGAACAGGAAATCGGTCCCCAAGCCACAACTCAGCCGTTTATCCTTGGGTCACAAACACTCACTACATTCAACCCGAGCACTTCCATGCCACGGGAAGCAAGGAAAGGACAAAAAACAAAGGGTGCCGCCCGGCACAAACGGCTGAGCACTGGCCACCCTCATTCCGACAAATGGGGGACCCTTCATGAGACTGCTTTTCTAGCCCCACAAAAGGAGGGAGAAAACCAAGTCAACCCCAGCTCTCCAGTTGCTAGACCAAACTGCAGTCAACACCACTTACCTGATGTCCCTGCGTGCCCACGCCTTATTTATTTACATGTGATTTAAAGAAAAGCGTACCCTGCCACATAGCTCCAAAGGGCCCTCTCCCCTACTCCTGACAGTATCAAACACAAGAGGGATGCCTGCCAGCATTGTTACAATTTCTCCATGCTGACCTTGGAAATTAACTCTCTCGAGGAAACAGGACTCAAAACAGCGCTGGTGCCATGTCTGATCCATCCATCATGAATTGCCCCCCCCCCCTTTATGATCAAGGCAATTGCATATATTCACAGGGAGACCGGAAGGAGCGCTCAGTGGCAGATTGACACAGAATGGAGCGCTCAAATGGAGCCAGGCCAGAGAGAAATTCTTCACAGGGAAATGCATAGCTGGGATTACTTTATTAAATGCTCTTCAAAGCAACAGGGAGCCTATTTCAAAAAGGAAGTGAACTCTGGGCTAATAAATACTGTGTTTAGATCAAATTTTATCCATGAGCACACCTCTTTCTAGAAGTCTGGGATCCTCTCTATTTCGGCCTAGGATGTCATCAGGAAAAATGATTTCCGAGAGCTACTGCCACAAACACCTTGCTTAGTACTGAATGGATACTTGCCTCCATTGACTACTCTTTGGTCTGCTCCTGAATTAGAGCTGTAGTCTGACGAGTAAGAGCCTGCTCTTGAAACTGGGGGGCCTGATCCTGACTGGCCCATGCGAGGCGCATTCTGCCGCCCGGTTCCCCAGGAGAGAACCTCCCGATTCCGCTGTCCTGGGGGAATGTACTTGTTCTCCCTGGAAGCCGGGGAGACAGAAGAGAGATGTGGCCATTTACACCCATGCGCTCCTGAGGGAAACAACTGCAGGTTCAGGAATAAAGCAAATGTAACGTCTTTCAAGACATCATTATTCAAAAAGTGTTTGAAGACAAACACCATACATTCATGAAATGGCTTCAAAATCAGGAGCCAAAAAAGTATTTCTGGACAAAACAGCTCTTTCCAACTACTAGGAGAGTCAACTGTAGGTTCCAAAAGTGAAGTCGAGGTAAAGGATACTTCAGACTGACCAAAAAAAACCCCACCACAACAAAACTGAGAATTTTCCATTTTTTGCACGACACCAGAACACATGGAAATTAAAGCATATACAAAATAGATGCATTAGAACTTCCCCAACCGAAGGCCAACTGCAAGTACGTTGGATTACAGCTCCCATCCTCCGCAGTGATAAGGCAACCATCTAACCAAGGTGTTCCGCCACCCATCCGCCAAATACCTGGGTGCCACTCCATGGCCCTCGCGCTCAGTACCATGTCTCTGAACCGCGGTGTATTTTTCTTCTTCTGAGCGCTCATCGTTCTCCAAAGCCGTCCGCGCTTTGTACTGTGCACTAGATTCAATTTCTTCTGCTAACTGGGTGGCTCTGGCCTCCCGTTTTAAAAATTCCTCTGAATTGTCCCTTTCGAGGGGGACCCTAAAAGGAAAAGACAAGTTGAGATAACAGATAGATAGTATTGATTTTCAGTGCAGATGCCTTTCAAGACAAATATTCCAGATGTCGAATGGATAAAAGGCACCATTTCAGAGAAACCAAGTGGTGATGTGACATTTTCTCTCCTGAAAATATGTCTTCATCCTTATTCATGTGCATCAAGGACATGCGGCGAATTGTCCAGACTTCAGACATTCAGATTTTGACCACTACCTCCAGAAAAGTGGAGCTGGGTATGTACATGTGCATTAAACAGCTACATCTTTTTGTTTTAGAAATGGGAAAGGCTCTCCATCTTGTTTTATTACATTTTGGCACATCATTCCATTAAAAATTAGTGCAGCAGCTAACATCAAATCACTTACGTATATGAAGATAAACTGCTGTCATAAGTCGACACAATGCCGTAGTTTTCTTCATTGTATCGAAACATATCATTGGGATCCCATCCGTTGGACTGGAAGGCCGAAAATATTTGGATTTAAAACAGGGCACCAACAAAATGAGAAAACATACAGAGAGGGCTGGGATGATCACAGGGGCCCATTCGATAACAAAGACAAGTACATATAACTGTGGGGCACTTGGGATTAGGCTCATAGAGTTGGAGGGGACCACAAGGGCTATCTAGTCCAAGCCCCTGCCATGCAGAAAAAGCACAATCAAAGCACCAACAGATAGCCTGCCCAGAATGTCTTGTCTTGGGACAGTGGGGGGTAAACACTACAGTAAAGCCGTCACCCCCCTCAATCCAATAGGTGCTTTACCACATCAGTCTCTAAAGCCTCGAGTTCTTCTGCGGTCATGCCTTCGCCGCCATCCCAAGGCTCCAGATCCTTCTCTTTATGTTCACCATTAATTTTAGCACTGATTGATGAATCTGTAAAAGCATCTGTAATTGAACATATATTTATTAAAAACAGAGTCAATGGACTGCGAAGCTGTTGAAGTACATTTTAATTGCCTTCAATAAAAAGGAGGCCAGCATAAGAAGCTGTGTATGCTCTGGCAAAAGCAGCACTTAAGAGAAAAGGTCCCATAAGTATACTGATATGTCTTACTATGTGCAATGAGGCATCCTCCCAATAATAAAGTACATCTAAATCTCAAGATCTGGTAAAGGATCCCTTTTGGACCACAAGACCCAAAATCCACCACCCGTCATGATCACAGCTAAAAGATGCAACAGCCTCAGTGTTCATTCTAGCCACAGTATGAGGCAGTACACTGACATTAAAGTGATTTCATCCCACTCAAACTGATGTTAGGGCTAACCTGCAATTCTGTGACAGCAACAGCATTCCAGCAACAAGGCCGAGTTCGCAGCCTCCCCAGAGCTCACCTAGTATCTGACTGAGAATGCATAAAGAACTACTGGCTGCAGAGAGACAGGTTTCTCCAGGGGCCATGCGACAGCACCTTCCCCAAGGAAGCAGCTTAGAAAAAGACTCCTACTGACTCACTGCTCTGTCACACAGGATTTCTAGTGCCAGACTGCTAAAAGTGACATTAAACATACATCCGTGACGCACTACATTTTAAAAATATAGCATTATGCCAAGTCAAGGTGCAGAAAGAGACAACAGCCAAGTCAATTACCTGTTTCTGAAGGAACTATAACAGACATGGGAAGAGAAAGAAAATAAAAAGAAATCAGATCAGTACACAGATGCCAATCCAGGTATTTTGCATCATCCACCCTAGAAGAACTACCTGTCCACACATTTCTACATTGCATTTATGGTCTGAAAATCAACAGCCATGATCTCAAGATCCCAGAGAGACCCGGGCTCCTGTAGGTTCCTGGTTGTCATGTTATACAAATTTACCCATAGCCCGGAGCCCATTTGCATCTAAAAAAAACCCCTTAAATGTTGCAGAAAAACCCATTTGGCTTTGGAAAGTTCAAGACCACATAATAAAAAGACAGCAAATACAAAGCAACAGCAAATGTAGTCCCAGTAGTCCAGCCAACCTATTTCAAAGCATTGCTTTACATTTCAACAGCTTGGAAATCAGCTAAGACTGAGAGGCATTCTTGGTTTTCCCTGTCACCCTCCCCTTTCCGCATCTCTCCAGGAACTGTACCAGCTAGGGCTGATAGCCAATCCCAGTACGGACCTGAAACCAGGGGCTGGAGGACTGGTTAAACAGAACCCAAAGCTTTACAAAGGATGGTTCTGAAATCAAACACTTAAAAAAGGAATTAAATTGTGGTTGCCCCCACTGTCAGATCTCATCCTTCACCACAGAATGAATTCAGAGTGTCACGGGATGCCTGGGTTGTGATGGCACCACAGCAGAAACGTCTTCCTCATTCCTCAATCTGAACAGCAGACTCAGCTTATCTGCTCTCTGAACCAAACATCAGCTGTCTGGTCCTTCCTGTTCTCAGCATCCAATTAGTCACAGCCTCGATAAAGTATGAAGAATCAAAAGGCTAATGAACTGCTACCAAAGAGAGTGGGGAAAGGAGGCCCTCCCATGGGTGCCATCTTTCACGAACGAACACGAGCACAGCCCACCTTGAGCAATCTTCTGGATCACTCTTTGCCAGGGATCTCAGATGCCCCAGCCCTTCCTCAGAGATCTCAGGAATGCCCTTGTTACACAAATGCACTTCCTGTTAAACCAGTCCAAGGAAGCCTCAGATGTTTGCTAGCAGACACAGATCTCACACACTTTCAGAACTCACATTGATCAGGCTGTGCAGTTGTGTCCTCCCCAGCTCTTGGGGCAGCAACAGGTTCATTTCTTAGTTATATCTTAGTTATATTTCTCTCTGAGTCTTATTTTAGTTATATTTTCCCCACTGAGTCTTATTTAAAAGACAACACTAGCAGTTGACCCTAAGGATAGCAAGTGGCACTGGCTCCCTATCAAAGTACTAGAATCACAAGGAGCTTGCTTTCCTCCGAAATATTCCATATGCTAGCACTTCTATGAGCTTGGCTTCAGACATGCAAACAATTCTTTAAGATCGCTGCTCATATATCCATGACCTTAATACATTCACTCATCTGTTCAGTTGTTTGGTTGCCCTGCCCCTCTTATAAATCCAATCAGACTTTGATTTCCAATCTAGTTTCCCTGTCACTAAGTTACCATTACAACTTTCTGCAGATGCCCCCCCCCCCCCCCAGTGCACAAAAACACCAGCTAGCTTGTTTCATCCACAACACAAAAGGCGGCTGTGATCAGACCCTGAATGCCTGGATTACATTTACACGATCTGCCACCTCCACAGAGAGAGCTACCACTATGGCTGCTAGAACAATACTTCCCTTCCCTTCCTGACATAAGATGTTTTCTCCAATGTTGCAGAACATGGTATTGAAGGCTAGCATTTGCTGCACCCCCTCTGAGGGCCTTCTAAACCTGGGTGCTTTAATGGCACCTGGAGAGTCCAGGAATCTAGTGACAAAGCTGATCCTCTACAGGGTCAGGATCTCCAAAGTTCATCGCCTGGGATTTCTAGAACAGGGAAAGAACTGTGCTCAAAACACCCAAAGAGCTACTGCCAAACAGAGCATAGATCCATAGATATGAATGCTCTGATTCTAATTAAGGCAGATCCTTATATCCAAAAAGGGAGGAGGAGGGCTCAGCTTTTAATAACCTTCGAGAATGTGATGCTAATTTAAAAAATCATTTTCAGACACAGAAAGAATGTACCTTTCCGTGCATAACTGGTATCCATGTCTTTGAAATGCACCATCACAAAATCTGAAGACTTGAACAAGATGCTCTCGATTATGTCTTCTAGTTTTGGCCCAGGACTGGATTCTGCAGTTTTCCGATGAGCTGCGTCAAGCACTAAATCACACTGAACCACAGAGAGGACTCAATTAGCCAGAGTTTTCGGGAAGTGAGCTTGATGGGAAACCATTACAAGTCAACAGTGGTCTTAAAAAACACATTTTCCAAAATGGAAATGGTGAAGAGTCTTAGAAAGTTGACTTGTACAATCAGCAATGTGGCAAACTAGTTTATGAACTAACAAACTGAATTCTTATAGATTCAGGTAAATCCCTAGAAATCACTATGTACAACTTGGGTTTTTTTAAACCATATGAAGTATCAACAAGATTACAGTGAACACTTAAGATTAGGGCATCTATATTAATTTATTCTAGGTACTGACACTTTCAATGAAAGCCAGGAAGACAAAATCTCAACCAAATTTTCTGTTGTCAAGGAAGTGCAACAGGATCAGAGAACACACAAAATGCATTTACCTTAGAGCTGTAAGTTTTAAAAACGCCTTCAAATATATTGCCATTTTTAACTTGCACTTCACATTTTGAGCCCTACATGGAGGAAAAAAGAGGATTCATTAAGGGGCATTCTCATGGCACCATCGAAATTAGAAAACAAAACACTGTGTGGGAGAGAAATGCTACATCAAGCAGTTTAGAGAAGGACACAAAAGCTCAGCTCCACTTTTAGCCAAGGTCTCCATCCCTTCCCCCAAATAGTCTTTTATTGTTTTATTTAGTGTCCCTTGTCCCAAAGAGGCTAGGCAGAGGCAAAAAGTCTCCCCGCTCTAAAAGAGAACAAGGGCCAACACACTCTTTCCTCTTCCATCCTATGCAGGGTTACGATAAATAAATGCATAATGTCACATTCTACAACAACTATGCAAGCCAGCTTACATAAAACCAGGCAGAAAAACCACAAAAACCGAACTACTCAACCAAATGAAAACAATCCCAAACAAACAGAAGGATATACAATCAAAACAATATTCAAACATGAATTGCTTGTCTGGACTACACATCTACAAGCAGAGGGTGAGAGGAGGCCATTCCGAATCTGAGGTGCCAACGCTACAAAGGCCTTCTGCCTGGCTGCCCACAGGAAGGAAGGGCATGGGGGGGGGGGGGGGGGGGGGGGGAGGAGGTCCCAGGCAACTTGTAGTGGGATGGAGCGGGGGGACCAAGGCCCAGAGCTGTAATAGACACATGTGACACTGGCACGAGCCTTCCCTTCCACAAGCTCAGGGCAGCACGTTGGCACAACTCTATCTCCCAAGTTTGTCATAAAGACCAAAGTACTGAACTTGCCTGGACCAAGGACGGGGCTCTTTGGCCAAAAGGGCGTTTGAGACGGGGCCGTCGTGAGCGCCTGTTTTGGGAAAAGGGCAGGGTCTCATCATCACCACCTTGGCTCCACCATCCACCAGGAATCAGCAAGACCCTGTCAGATAATGTGGCATATTCCAAGCAGCGTCCCTTTTTGTAACAGTGCTCTTTGGATCCTATCTCTGGATCCTATCATTCAGATATATTGTTATTTATCACCACAGTTGTTTTCCTAAAGGCAGAGGAATCACCACCATCATTTCTCGTAAGGACAGATCTTGGTGCATTACTGATGTACCTTACAATGATTTGAAAAGGGGCCTAGCCTTGGACTGTGAGATTCTCCAAAGCCAGTCCGTGGACAACAAAAGTTTCAGTTGCTCTTTGCAAAAAACACAATGGATGCACAACAAAGGGGACCAGCAGCTCAATCCTATTTACACAGTAAGCAAGAGGCTGCATATTAGTATATTTTAAACCATAGCTTAGTATTTGGGATGACATTTCAATTTTGCCTTAAGAATCTGGAATCATGGATGAAGATAGTCTGCCAATCTCACAATCAGGAGACAGTGTCCAACGTTCTTGCTTAGAAAGTTATCAGCGACAGGGATGAAGAAAGCATAGTCAAAGAAAGATACAGCCATAACTTACGACAACTGATGTGAGTATGTGAACCATTCGCATATTTGCATATATGCCTTGAAAAGAAATCTGAAAAAGAAAAAAGGGGGTAGTAGACATGAAACTCCCAACTGTCCCAAAGGCAAGTGGCTGTACTAGAAAGGCCTTGAGTTGGATCTGAAATGGCCCTTCTGGCAATCTAATACTTGATAAAAACAAATAAACAGGGCAACCGCAATTATGACATGACATAAAATTGTTTTATTGGATTTCTCTTCAAAGCAACTTTGACTTGGGGTCTGAACCAGCCCTAAACCAACTGGTAACCAGTGCAATGGGAGGTCTGTTGTCTGGGGCAGCAACTAGGCTCTGACCAGTCTTTCAAAACCACATTTTCAGCCATATGACATTTCTGCGCCATCAAAATAAGAAACACAGCAAGGCTGGATTCACCCATAATTGTACACGACTGTGACTAAAACAGAACATGGCAGCAGCCTTCTATGGCCTTCCCCACCGCCACCCTTTTTAACAGCATGTTTTCCATTCTTATGATATTTATCTTATTTAAGTTTAGATAAATAATTGCCATACTGAGTGGAATCTCAGAAGCACCACTGAATATGATTTCCCACATATGGGAATCAGGACTTCAGTGCCCAGCCCCACTTTATGACCAGTAGGAGTTATGGGCATGAGCAGAAAGACTGAACTGTGTACATAAAACCTGAGAAGTTAAGCAACTAGGCCTACACTAGAAAACTTTATACAGTTTATATAGTAAGTTTTTTCTGGGTACAGGACACTGAATGTTAATCCCTGGAGTGCATGGAGATTCCGAGAAATGACCTCCATCATACTTGCCGCTTGTATATACTCATCACAAACCTCACTGTAACCTTCCTACTGTTTTAGATTACAAAAAGCAAGATGGACACCAAAAGATCTGAGCTTTAGATTCCTGGAAAGACAGGGATACATATCCCAATGTTTACTTGGTCATTGAACAGCTAAGGATTTCACAGTAAGCACACTGATCATAGGAGCATCTCTTGAAAAAGGGACTTGACAATCAACTCAAAGAGCCATGTTAAGATGGCTCCTTGCACCAGGCAAGGAGATGCCACCAGCCTCTTCCTGATGATAACCACAATACTCACTGTTAATTTTCACACAGTGAGAACATGGTGCCTGCAGTCTATGATGGGACCTCAAGATTGCATTTTGCCAAGCGCCAATGACGTTGAACTACAACTTTAGCCACCTACCCGGCCTAGCTGTGGCCCTTCTTCGGGTACCCCTAACAGACGGGAGACGCCATAGAAGAGATTGCCTTTGGAAGGCCGGCCGGTTCGGGTGCGGCGTGAACCTCGGCCCTCCAGGCTGGAACCCGCCACCATTCGTCGCCCACCTTTCCTCATGATGCAGGCAGGAAGGCAACTGAAAAGTCCATCATGGATTCTTGCCTCACCAACTGACAGTACTCCCCTTTGGAGGTCCCTGACTACCTAGACGCAACCTAGCCCTGTAGATACTGAAGCCCACTGACTTTGTGACATCATCTATTCCCTGAAGGCAGCATGTTAGGATGCAACTCAGCTCATGTGCATTAAGGTTGCCTCTTGGCTTATCTTCAATTTCCAATACAACAAAGTTGGTTGAGAGGTAACACAACTCCCAATCTGCTTCACCATGGAACACAGCCATGGAGCAATTGTGCATATCTATAAAATTTAAATTACTTTTCCACTCCTTTGAATTCTCCTAGCTCTCTTCACCTTCCTCAAATAAGGAGAAACCGATTGCAGAGAAATATCAAGCAACCTTGAATCTCGTTTAAGAGCAGAAAGCAGGAAACAAATAAATCTAATAACAGTGTACAAGAAGACTGTCTCTCTGATCTACTCACAACAGCATTTCTTAAAGCCCACTTATTGCAAATAAAATAAAACTACAAAGGAAATCAGTGCTGTACTTTATAACTCCAGGGAGATTAATTTATTGCATTTTCTATACCTCTTTTCTCAACCCTGAGGATGTTGCTTTTTGGGAATGTTCACTCCTAGCACCCAAGCTATCTTACTCACTGGAGTGTTTAGAACTTAGTTTTGTGAGTTCTGGGTTATCCTTTGGGCCAGATCTGGTGATAGCCCAAAAAGGGATGAGGGAACAGATGGGGAGAAACCACATGGGGACCTGATCCTTTCATGCCAGGACTCATACAAGTAACACATGACGTTGTCGGTAGCCTGCTGTTTGCAAATCAGATTATATTGGGAAGCATAAAGATGCCAAAGTAACCCATATTCTATATATTTTGGGGAACTATGCAGAAGAGGCACAATAATTTAGAAGTCACATCCTCAAAACATTTTCATTCCTGTTTGAGACTGGCAACATTCCTTTCCCAAGAATGCATCGTCATCATCATAATCAAAAACACATAAAACAAAGCACTATACAAAGTACAAAAATGTGCACTTACCGTTGGTTGAAGCGGCCCTTTGCCACTGTTACGGCCTCTGAAATAAACAAAAACAGAACACAGATGTAGGAGGCGCTGGTAGTTCGATTCTAAAATCACTTCCTTTAAAAATAATTTTTTTCCAAAACTTTCCAAAACTTCTGAAACAGCTTCGTTAATGGCAGATACACATGTACAGTAGGAAAAAACAGCACTGGCACTGGGGAAACTTCAAGGGCTCTTCCACTCAGGCTACTCCTGACCAAGGGGCTGTTCCACTCCAGGCCTGCCTCTGCTGTCAATGCTGAGGAGGAGGAAGCAGTGGCACCCCCTCAAGTGCCACTTGGCTCCCGCTGCCGGGCTTCAGCCAGGCAGCGGGCTTCAGGCTGGGAGTGGAAATCCAAAACACCTGGAGGGGCCAAGTTTGCCCAAGCCTGGATTAGATGCAGCCATGCCACAGTTCAACGTTATGGGATCCTGGGGTTTGTAGTATGGCACTCTTTGGCAAAGGAGGCTAAAAAACCATGCAAAACTACAGCTCCCAGGATTGTGTAGCATTGAGACAAAGCAGTTGGAAGTGGTTCCTCGTTAAGATCTGCCTGATCCACCTGGAGGGAGGGAGGGAGGCAGGAGAGGGAATGAAGGAAGAAAGGAGGGAGGGAAGGAAGGAAAGAAGGAAGGAAGGAGGGAAGGAAGAGAGGAAGGGGAGGAAGGGAAGGAAGGAAGGTGCTTCTGACAGGTTTTCCTTCCTTTCCAAAATTGGTTGCTTTAACCAATATCCCAATCAACCTTTAGTGCCACTGATCTATAACAGAAAGCACCCTCTCCTTTATCCCTTCCCAATTTTCTCCCGCCTTCCCCCTTTCCTTTTTTTTAACCCAGCATTGGCTTGATCCTGTTGAGTGGAGGCTGCCTCCTGCCTGGCTTAATTCCCAGTTGCCAAACCTTGAGATTGGGGTGAGAAGGGGGGGGGGGGGGGAATAGAGGTTGCTTACCTGTAACCATATTTCTTCGAGTGTCCATCTGTGAAATTCGCACCTATGGGTTTTCCCTCGTGCATGCGCAGAAATCCGGAACATTCTAAAGTTTAATGAATTTTTAAATGATTATTTTGAGAAGTACAAGCTCCGCCCATCTCCCCGCCCCCTCCCCCCCAATATATGCGCACTATATGCGTTCAACAGCACTAAACAGCGGCTAGGATAGAGGCATAACAGAGGGGAGGACGGGCGGGTTGTGCGAATTTCACAGATGGACACTCAAAGAAATACGGTTACAGGTAAGCAATCTCTATTTCCTCGTCGTGTCCTCTGTGAAATGCGCACCTATGGGTGAATAGCAAGCTACTGACCCGGAGGTGGGTCATGCCACGCAGGAAAAAAGAACTGCTCTGCCGAAGGCGGCATCCTTCTTTGCTTGTATATCCAACTTGTAGTGAGAGGCAAATGTGGAAGGTGTAGACCACGTAGCTGCTCTGCAGATATGTTCCAGAGGAACTCCTCTTAGGAATGCTTGGGATGTGGACACGGAACGTGTCGAGTGTGCCATAAGGTGAGAAGGCGATTCTTTACCTGCCAACTGGTAGGCTAGTCGGATCGTTGAGACAATCCAAGAGGCCAATCCTTGTGAGGACACAGGATGGCCTAGCATGTCCTTCCTGTATTTCAAAAACAGCTTAGGAGACTTCATATAGGTAGATGTTCTATGTAAGTAAAAAGAAAGTGCCCTTTTAACATCAAGGGAGTGTAAAACTACCTCCAACAGGGAGGATGGGTTGGGAAATAAGGCTGGTAGAATGTCTTGTGACATATCAAAGTGGGAAACTACTTTAGGGAGAAAAGTGACATCGGTACGAAGAACGACTTTGTCACCGTGGAATCTAATATAAGGGGGGTCCGAGCAAAGGGCTGTGAGCTTGCAGGACCTTCTAGCATAGGTGATGGCCACAAGGAATGCTGTCTTCCATGACAAGTGGGATATATCGTTAGAGGCCATAGGTTCAAAGGGCGCCTTCGATAACTGGGATAACACTAGTTCTAGGCTCCATTGAGGGGAAGGAAGGGAGGTGGGAGGGTGGATGTTTTTATAGCCCTTGAGAAACAATTGAATTAAATGGTCTTGAAAGAGGGACGGCAAGCCAAACTTTCTCCGAAAGGATGAAATTGCTGCTAAGTAGCATTTGACTGAGGAAAGGCAAAAACACTTATTAGAGAGATGTACTAGGAAGTCCAGTACTACAGGGATAGGTGCAGTGATAGTATTGTGTCCAACTGATTGTGTAAATGATTTGAAAGAAGACCACTTATAGTTATATGACTTTTCAGTGGTTGGCTTATGCGCAGCCAGGAGTATGCGTGATACTTCCTCAGATAGGTTTACCGTGGTCTGATCCTCCACGCCGTCAGGCGTAGGGATTGGAGGTCTGGGTGTAGGACCAGGCCGTTCTCTACTGTGAGAAGGTCCAGGGTCGGGTTGAGATGGAGGAATTCTCTGTTGGAGATTTGGAGAAGGGGGGCAAATCAGTGTTGTCATGGCCACCAGGGTGTGATTAGAATGCAATCTGTGTTGTCTTGGATTATCTTGACTATGACTGGGGATAGGAGAGGGAGAGGCGGGAAGAGGTAGAGGAGGCCCGGCGTCCATTGGAACAGGAAGGCATCTCTGAGATGCCTTCTGGGGATGCGTGAGGGTGGAGCCTCGCACAGTAAAGAGAGCAGTGATTGTTTACTGGGGATGCAAAGAGATCTATCCTGGTTCGCCCCACTTGAGTGTGAGGGCTCTGAACTGTTTGGGGTGTAGGTGCCACTCGTGGCTGTTTTTCGATGATCTGCTTAGGGAATCTGCTAGGGTGTTGTCCTGTCCCAGTAGGTGAATGGCTGTGAGAAGAATATTCCTCTGAATGCACCATTCCCAGATGCGTGTCGAGATGGACAGAAGTGTCCGTGAAAGTGTTCCCTCCTGTTTGTTGATATAGTATTTGACTGAAGTGTTGTCCGTTACAATTTGAACCATGTGGTTGGAAATGATGCGGGTGAAGGCTCAGAGAGCCTTTTCTACTGCCATCATCTCGAGTGCGTTGATGTGGAAGTGTCGGTCCTGGGTGGACCAGTGACCGCTGACCCTGAATCCCTTGAGGTGCGCACCCCAACCTGAGTTGGAGGCGTCAGTTGTGAGGGACATGGAGGGACAGGGTTGGTTGAAAGGCATCCTTGATTGAACATTGTACTGCTTTATCCACCATGAGAGGGATTAGAGGACGGTGTGTGGTGGTTGGAGGATTCGTGACTGGGGGTCGAATGACCTAATGAACCAATTTTGCAGGGGCCTCATCTTTAGGTGGGCAAAAGGGGTCACATTGTGGTAGAGGACATGTGGCCAAGGATAGATTGGATAGCCCAAGCTGATGTTTGTGGGGATCGTTGGAGGTCTAGAATAGACTGATGAAGCTTGAGGAAGCGGTCTTCTGGGAGGAAGGCCCTCTGGAGCGTGGAGTCTATTACGGCTCCTATGAACTGGATGCGTTGTGTCGGGGTCAGATGGGATTTTTCCTGGTTTACGACCAGACCCAAGTCCTGTAAGAGAGATAAAGTGTAATGAATATCGCTGCACAGTTGAGTTTTGGAAGAAGAGCATAGTAACCAGTCATCCAGGTACGGAAAGACCGTAATGCCTTGCTGGCGGAGGTGTGTGGCTATGACTGACATGCATTTCGTGAATATTCTGGGCACCGTGGATAGGCCAAACGGGAGAGAATTGAAGGAGAAGTGATTGTTTAGAACCGCAAAGGTTAGGAACCAGCGGTGTGACTGTCTGATTGAAATGTGGAAGTAGGCGTCCCGTAGGTCCACCGTTGCTAACCACGATCCCTCCGGGATGAAGGGAAGTATGTTAGGGAGTGTTATCATGCGAAATTTACACGGTGTACTGAAAGTGTTGAGTCTATGTAGAACGAGGATGGGGCGTAGCCCACTATTCCTTTTGTCTACTAGGAAGTAGCGAGAAAAGAAACAATTGTTGGCATCATGTGAAGGGATAGCAGAAATGGTACCCTTTTGAAGTAGAGAGTTTACCTCTTCCCAGATGGCCTGGGAAGGTTGGGTGAGGATGATGTTACCAACAGGTGGATAGTTGTCAAACTCTATAGCATATCCTCTTTCAATTATATCCAGGACCCAAGCGTCCGTGGTTATGGATTGCCATGTTGGAAGGAATGTGTGTAGTCTGTCTAGGTATGTAAGTGGTTGTGTGTGTGGGGGGGGGGGTAGGTAGGTGATAGGTAGAGGTGTGCTAAAAACGACATTTGTTGTTGTTGGAGGGCCTGATACCAAGGTACTGACCTCTAGAAGGAAGGGGAGGTCGTCTTGCTGCTGCAGAGGAAGAGTAGGGCCTCTGTCGTCCCCTGTAGAATGAGGTGTTATAGGGTCTATTGTAGAATTGGGGACGGTAGTAGTAGGATCCCCATCGCTGGCATTGATAGGAGTATGCCTGTTGGTCATACCTGTATACTGTTTGCTTCATTTTATGGGAATGTTCTAGTTGCAAATCTGTTTCAGGATTGAAAAGCCCTGCTTCATCCATGGGGAGGTTCTCGATAAGGGTGCGTTGTGATTGAGAAAGGATAGCCGCCCTTAGCCAGGCATGGCGGCGAAGGGCTACTGACCCCGCAATAATTTTACCTGAGGTGTTAGCAATGTTTTTTTAAAGGTCTTTTTTGTAAAGAGGCCAAAAGAAGGGCTTCTTGTTTAAAGGCCATGGCTAGTGGTTGTTCAGTTGGAGGTAATAGGTCTAAATAAGAAGGTATTTTGTTCCATAAGAAAGTCTGATAGACGCTCATATTAGCAGAGCTGAGAATTTTTTGAATTCTTCTAAGTTTTTAGGTGAGGGGTCAGGGTCCGGTTGGGGGTCTTGGATGGCTGGAGTGTCATTGGTGGATTCAAGGTCAATGGTTTCTGAATCTGGTTGGGGTTGGGGGGTGGGTTCCTGAAGGGATAGATGAGTTTTCATTTCAACCTGGTCTTCTGGAGGGTGAGAGAGTGCGGCTGTAGGAGGCGCATGGAG